GTTAATAGTTTCATTAATTTTATCAGTCATATTACGTGATTGTCAAGTTATGACAATGCTTTATGACGATATCCTGAAACTATTAAATTTAACTAGTTATAGTGTTGATTAAGGATTAGTCAGTGGAAAAATAGGTATTGTTGCTTTAGGTGAATCAAAATCATCAGAAATTTATAACGTTAAAGAATCCGAGACGCCTAATTTAATTATAAATTTCAATTCAGAAATATTCGTTTAGTGTTAATTCTAGTAGGCTACGGAGTTTTGATTTGAAACGTTTGTTTAGCCAACAGCTACCTGAGGATCTAGTTATTTTACTAGTGCAGTTGATAGTACCCAAATTTTTAATCGAATTATCTAAACTATGTCTGCATTTTAGGCTGCTACTATGATAAACCAATACATAAACCCAAATACGATTAGCAACAACGACTATGATGGGTTTATTGATAAATGTTAAAGGCGATTCAGATGATTTCTAAATTCAAAAGACATGAAGATATAGTAAAACGTATGTACGGGCCAGATTAACAAGCAGGTTGTTGACACATATGACGATTTAAAAATAATGAACATGACCAGAAAATAGTTTTAAAGTTTAGACTGCTTGTGAGACTTCAGGCAGGAATATGATGCGTTATAAACATTCCATAAGGAGTTACAGCATTTAGCCTAGGGACACTTACAAATATATAGCAAAATGAACCGGAAACATATAAATGTTAAGTACAAAAAATCATTAAATAAAATAGTTGAACTCGCCTGGATTATTTTTGAAAATTAGATTATTCAGTGGACGACATATATAACGCCATTCGTGAGTAGTATTGATCCAAAAGCATCCAGAATAAAACATGCAGTATGGCAATTAATTCGAGGGTGCTTGATGCTGTTGAGGTTTTTGCCACTTGCTCGGATCAGAACAATCGAATGAATCCAGATAATTGTATGGTTGTCATTGAACGAACCATCTAAAAATGATTGCAGAAAACTTATAGCTGAAACTCACCGTATGTTTTTGGAGTAGTCATCCTCGTTGTTTGGCAATGGAACTCGAGAATATGAAATTAGGCAGGCAGTGGTCGGAAGAAAAGATATTACAGGATAGTGCATCGTTTAAAACAGGATGTGTTAAGTGAAGGAACACTGAGAATTATATCCAGAGAACTATTTAGTCCTTGATCGCATTGTTAGTCAATGTATATTTACGCTATTTACAGGTCATATTTGCTAGAGCTTGATGTTTAAACAAGACTATGTCGCTGAAGCATGTAAATGCCATTACAGCTTGTTAACAAACCATCAAAGCTAATTAGTTAATATAGACGACCAGTTTTTATTATCGATTGAGCTAGTTTGTCATGAGGACTAATCAATATAACATTACGATAATGCATGTGAGCATTAATCAGAGGACTATTGGAATACAGGGTTAACATAAATATAAAATCGATCGAGAAAGTTGAAGTGGAAATAAGGATTAATAATAATAGGTTGCGTTTCTTTAGTTGGGCTCACCAATGTGGAACTATGGTCTACTACGATATTAGTACTGCTCTAATAATAGACCTAATCCTAAATTTGTAGATGCGTCATGATATAACTGCCTAATCTATAAGATCTTACGTGGAAGTCACACCATCGACTACACCAACTCACTGTATCGGATCAATTACCAATACATGATGTATAAGAAGGTTAAGTTAGAGAAGGAACAATATATTTAATATGAATAGAGACCACGCCTGCATGGCCGAGCCATGCCACTCGATCAACTCCAGTCCATTCAATTCATTGTTCGCGCCTTCTCCATTGGTAGGTATTTCTCCGCGTTAAATATTGAATATCTATTTTCTGAGTAGTCTCGTGTTCACAGCTTTGTGGATTGTGTGGCTATTGTCCAATGCCACTACAAGTGTTTACCAACGACAAACTCGTTGGGTTTAAACTTCTGGCTGGCCACGTCTTAGGGTCGTCACTGCCCCACTAGGGGGGGAGTGATCTGTAGCGGTAAATAAATCCCCAAAATAAATAGCACTAAGTTTTCGACATTGGATGCTGACCATATGTTTAAGTGGACTCACCTAGCTGAAGGCGCTCGGTCAGGCATCTGCACCAGATCACGTGTGGTAACGCCGTGCTCAACATCAACCGCAATCGCTAGCCAGATTAGATCAGAGAATTCCGATATATTGGTCATCGCCAAATATACTCTTCCGATCTCCTCGACTCTGTCTTTTGATTTCTCTGGGCGGGAACGAAATATATTAGAAGGTGTTACTGGTAGAAGCGTTGTCAAACACTGAATACCTGTGACATCATCAACTGAATTTGTGTCGTAATACCAAGTAAGAGTGGAGGTCAGATTTCGTCAGGGCACTTTCATGTGCCAGGTTTGCTGTTCGGCCTTTAGCAAGTCTTTGGTTCCAAACTCAAGTAAGTCCTCTTGATACTTAAAGTTCACGACCATCAGACGCAGACTTCTAATGGTCGTCAAGTATAAAGGCTAAGGTACTTGAATTTTCTACTTATCGTGGTGGTATGAAGGACTATGCTACTTGATAGTCAACACCACCGTTGCGTGTCGTGGTCGTTAGCTTCATCCGGACTGCCACTTACAATCACAAACGGTCAGTGAAGCACCATGCCGGTGGGTTCATAGGTTTTTGCTGATCTTCCAGCGACACCTTCTATGGCCCATAGTTTGTCATATTTAACTCGAATTTAAGATTATCGCTAAATCAATGGGCCTTTAAGCAATAATTATTCTGTGACGTGTGCTGAAACGTTAATTACACCTAGAGGTGGGAGTTTTTTTGATAAGTTTTGGCCCTTATACAGGCGGTAAGGCTTAGCTGAAGTGACACACTTTCTCAGCATTGTACAGTGTTTATCACACTGTTCTTAATCAAAGTCTGCTCCACATCCTAATAAGCTACTTTTCGACACTGGGACAATAAATTAAATCAGAGAGTTTTATTAAATATTGTTTTCCTCCATTTTTTGCATTTTGCGATCTATGCTGCTACCATTCCACTTCTCGACGCCCACCCGCTGTTCCTTACTATTAACAGATACTGGGTATTAGCAACTGTCAGTAATTTCTGTGGTGTATGAGGCCGGGTAATGGAATCTATAGTCTCGCGTTTGACTGAACATGCGCTGGATTGGCTGCTGTTGTTGTCTATGGGGTTTTCAATTATTCTCTTCTGTTAGTTCTGTTGATGTATTTTTTCTACACATGAGAAAATGCACCAGAACCACGAATGGTGGTGAATTAACACAACGGAAGTTCCGTCTAATTGGCTAGGCGTGTCCTTCAAAAGTATAAACCCGAAGTCTACTCCGAAGGCATTTTTATCAAAGATAAAAAAATAATTTTAAAGAATGGGGCAATAAGATTCCTGTCTTCTTCGACGTGAACCTCTTATAGGAACTCATTGTATAAACTGCACGCGTAGTTTGTGGTAAGTTTTTAGGTGGCGGAATCTACACTTTGAAGGACTGGAAGTTATTTTTCATCCGAGTTGAAGACGATTCACATCTCTCAAAGTGCTAGCTCATTGTTCTGCTCTTAGGCTTCTCTCTAAAGCTACCACCAAAAGCAATATTTCGGAAGATATTTGCAGAAGACTTGCATGAACCAAAAATAGCAGAGGTCCAAGCACTGAGCCCCTTTTCTGGGAATAAGAAATTTACTTTGGCCTCAAAACGCAGACTTTTTAGACGCAACTTAAATCAGTCTGTCAGCGTGATCTGAATGCGCCGGCTTAGGTTTATTGATCAGACACATGTCTGACCCTATGAAAAGAAGTTCAAGTATATCGCATCCATATTTTCCTCGAAATCAAGAATAACGATTCATCAATCCATAAAAGAAAGGCAGATGTGCGATGCAAGCGTGGTTTGAAGGGTCGTCGGTTCGTCCGCCTTAAACAATTTGGCGGATTTGTGGTGTCCGGCACTCATCTACTATCACTCCTCCATCCAGGGTATATGAAAATCGCAAATTTACAAGATTTGTTGGAGGTGAGGCCTCTTCTACTCAATATATCTTTTGGTTCCAACCCTATCACTTTCTTTTAACAAGAGACATTCTTCTTTCTAGTGTATTTTAACCGTCGTTTCACTGCCGATTTTATTAAGACAGTTGGATTGAAATGTTAATACAGATATCATTGGACGTTACTTTAAATGTGAAACTGTTTTCACCTCCAGGAAATCCTGATTGTTCGTTAGTGATGTTGATGTAGTATTCCAGAAGCATTTACATCTTCCAGAGCTTCGTTGCCAAAAACGGTCGAGTTGACTCTCACCGTTAAGGTCTACTTCAGCACAAGCTACCGGCATGCCGCACTCTTCGTCCACAACTTTTGCTGTCTGCGCTATAATACGGCTGTCATTTGGAAAATCAAAATCATTCGACTGCCTTCTATGTGCCCATAGTACTCCGTAACTCCCTTGGGTGGAGGTCCTCACAATTTCGTCAACCATTAGTATGATGAGAAAAATCGAGGGTATGCAGCTTTGTCTGACACTAGTCTTCGCATGGAATACATCTCTGAGCTGCCCTCCATACACAACGTCGCAACGGACTGCTTTCTAGGAACTTCCTTAGGTGGTCACAATCTTCTGGGGTACTCTTTATTGTCGAAAAAGATTCCAAAAGGTTCTCTTATCCAAGCTATCAAATGTTTTCTCATAATCGAAAAAATTGATGTACGGTGTAGAGTACCGTTTAGTATCAAAAATAAATAGTATTTAAAATAGTTGAAAAGGAGAGCCAAGAACAGAGTTGTTCGGAGGCTCCAAGAGGAGCAACAAGCTTAGCTCAATTCATTCATTAGTCCGTCACATAGATCGGAGTTTGATTATTGAGGTTTGAAGACAGTGTGAGTAAACTGCGAAGTTTGCGTTACTTAGCATTTTGGTAGATGCTGTTTATGAAAGTATGTGTAAAATACGATACTATAAGAAAGTGTAAAGTAGGAAGGGTATTAAAACGTTACAGATTTAAGACTTTCTAATGTGTTGTTATAGATTATCTGTTATCAGTTTATTCATGATGGTATATTCATAATTTTAATATGACATTTAAATTTTATCGATGAGAAGTAGGAAACTAACGTGGTAAATATTACGATTGCGAATCGATAATCAAATGTTCATCTGTGTGTTAGCTAGCCTCATTGTTTTGACATATAATCGTCCTTATAGTGTTGGCACTAACTGGTTTATCAACTCTAAATTGTCGATGGAAGTTGCCCAACGTTTTAAATACTGTCGGACATTTTGAGTCTGATGATTGGTGTAAATATTAGCTACGAAAACTAGAGCACGTAGATCTGAATCTGAACCCTGATAATAAGATCGTTTAGGACTTTATACTTCTGTAGTAGATACAAAATTTATGCAGCGAACACATAAGATACGAAAACTAGGTGCTGAAGCATTAAATACGATAGTTGGTATGATTGCAGTAGGCAAAATAACGGAAATTCACGAATATTTAAGTAAATACGAGCGACAATAATGTTCTTCGAGATTCCTATTTGTACCACTCTAACAGGACAACAACTCGGAAAAAGGCAGTTGTTCAGTTGTGTCGTTCTCATGATCATAGGCATTGATACGCTGTCTTCCACTGTGTATAACAAAGAATGATCGAAAAGTCTTGCGACTAGAACTACTGAAAAAAGCCGATTATTCGCAAAAATCAGTACGCATATTTCCAGAAACAACATAATTAAAGGAGACGCTTATGGAACTGTCGGTAAGCCTACAATCAATAAGAACTTCATGCGATCAAAGGATCAATGAGTAAAATCTTTATTTTTTGAAAATATCTACTTTTTCATAACACGTATTCACGCACAATATATTGATGATAACGGACTTTTTGGTGAATAGTCGAGTTTTTTTATTCCAATTATCTGAAAAAATTATTTTCAAAAATGTTTTTCTTGCAATTAAACACCATATTCACTGTAGATGTTTAAGTGGATTTAGATCAATCAATTAACATCACATCTGCGATCCGACGATTGGCATTTTACTCATTTCTAATGGGAGTTCCTGGCTTATGGCGTTTGTTAGAGCCGGCAAGAGAGCCCATAGAATTACAACAGCTATCTGGGAAAATTATAGCAATAGGCAAGTCCATTTATTTTTGTTTTGTTATTTTGTACCAATAGTAGGCTTAACTTACCTTCAAAGTCCTCTATCTGACGTTTTATTGTTAGTAACCGAATAAATTGTTATTTTATTGTCCTTAAAACCATCTTTATTGACCAGTAGTGTCTTCAAGCCTGTCATCATAATAAACTATTATGCATGAGTAACAGTCTTTGTTTTCTTCTTTAGGTAGTCTTGGAGAAGTAAATTCAGCCATTTGTATCCCAATTTATACACGTTCCTATTGTGCTTGACTTTGCTCTCCCGTCCAACTTCTAAGGGCATATCGTATCCAATTTTGTCTTCTCCTGTATACTCAGTGACTGCAGTATGGGCGGAACACTTTAAGGAACAGTTCAGCTGGCCTTCAGTGACTCTACAACTACCGTCCACTCCTAGACAGTGTGAATGGAACATTGAAGTAGGTCCCCCAACTCTAGCAGAAGTTCAAAAGACTATAGTTAATCTGAAACGAGGAAGGGCAGCTGGTCCAGATGGATTGGCTCCAGAAGTTTTTAAGAATGGTGGTCCAATTTTAGCAATTAGGTTGACTAATATTTTAGCTAAGATCTGGGAGTTAAACGTTATTCCATCTGACTGGTCGCAATCACTTATCGTCCCAATATATAAGAAAGGGTCAAAATCATCTTGTGACAACCATAGAGGGATTAGTTTAACTAATATAGTATCTAAAATACTAGCCTCGATAATTATCAGACGCCTAACTAAGACTAGTGAACTGCAAACACGAGAGAACCAAGCTGGCTTCAGACCTGGTCGTGGCTGCATCGACCACATATTCACCATTCGTCAGGTTCTAGAACACAGGCATACTTATCGACGTCCGACAATGGTGGTCTTTCTTGACTTAAAAGCAGCATTTGACTCGGTAGACCGCGAGATTCTGTGGCAGTGTCTGTCATTGAAAGGCGTACCCCAGAAGTACATAAACTTTGTAAAGGCTCTTTACTCGAACACTACTAGTCGAGTCAGGGCTTATGGCGAACTGTCATCTACTTTTGCAACCTCAAGTGGTGTCCGTCAAGGCTGTCCACTTTCCCCATTTTTGTTTAACTTCATTATAGATCTACTGATGGAAATAACCTCCTCGTCGACTGAGTTCTCGTGTATTGATCTCCATCCAGGAGGTCCACTTATCGACTTAGAATACGCAGATGACATAGTCCTGTTTGGTGAAGACGCTGACAAAGTGCAGAGTCTTCTGGTAGCACTGAGCAACAATGCCAGAATGTTTGGAATGCGCTTCTCTCCCTCTAAATGCAAGTTGTTGCTTCGGGACTGGTCTGCGTCAACACCTGAACTAAGGATAGGGAGTGAAGTAGTCGAACGCGTTGACAACTTCACTTATCTTGGAATTCTGATCAGCCCTAATGGGCTGGTGTCTGACGAAATCTCTGCACGGATTCGAAAAGCTCGTTTGGCTTTTGCCAACTTACGTCACCTGTGGCGAAGGCGAGATATCCGTCTATCAATAAAAGGACGAGTATACTGCGCGGCAGTCCGTTCTGTTTTAATTTACGGCAGCGAAACATGGCCTTTAAGAGTAGAAGACACCCGTAAGCTACTAGTATTTGACCACAGATACCTTAGAAATATTGCTGGCGTCTGCTGGGATCACCAGGTAAGTAATAGTGAGGTTAGACGCAGGGTATTAGGGAATGATGGTAAATCTATTGATGAGGTTATGAATCTTCATCGACTGAGATGGTTGGGCCACGTGTTACGTATGCCTGAACACCGATTACCATGAACTGCAATGCTAACGGGTGTTAGAGATGGTTGGAAGAGAATTAGGGGCGGCCAAACCAAAACGTGGCATCAGTGCTTGAAGACACTAACTTATAGCCTGAGCCATGTTGGTAGATGCAGACTACTTGGTTGGGGTCCGCGTGACTTTCGTAACCGATGGTTGGAAACTCTTGGTGACATGGATCAGAATCGATCACAATAGCGTCGGTGCATACACTCTCTATCTTCCCTTAAACGAAGAGATTAAAATCACTTCATATCTTTCTTTCTACTAACTAATTCTTTCTTCCCGTACTGTATCCTTATATGCAATCTTTCTCCTTTATATTACCACCTTTGACCTAACCACTCCTATGAATTCGGTGTTCATCTTGCTGTGCTAATGAGATATGGCAACCTGGACCGATGCATATATGTGCCTGGTCCTACGTTGTAGCTGACTGAGTGAGTGACTGCAGTTTGGCTAATACAAAGCTGTAAAGTGTGCTCCAAAAAGACGACCGATTAGAACTAATTACAGTAACGTCTGCCTTTGACAAATGATAAATCCAAGATGCATCTTGCAAGTTCCATTAGAATCTTGAGTCAATAAAATCGTTTTTATGTACATAGCCAAACAATTACATATTTTTCACAACCTTCAAATGCAGTGAGGAATGATGAAACTGATATTCGTCTGTCAACATGATGCTCAATATTAGACATATTGCCATTAGCCACTTTTTAGGAGTTAATAGACGACTGCCTTACCTTAAAGAGTCTACGTAGTTTTGAGTAACTTGATCTATTACTTAAGCTTCTCCAGTTTTTGAAGGAAGATAGTTATATTAAACAAGTCTGTTATACTGATGGTATTTATTATCGTCTATTGAGATATCTTGTTGCTGTTTAAATATTTACTGTCAAAAGTGTAATTTAGTGTCAAGTAATATATGCCAAAAATAACAGGTTCTTGTACCAACGTTTGAAGAAATATCAGTTGAAATGACAAGAAATATTATCTGGTAAAGACGCTTACAGTCACTACTTTTGTCGAATACCTTTAAAGACGTTATATCAGGCGTGGGTCTGTCCATTTTTAGGTTCACAGTCTCTTAGTATCCAAACGAGCTCTCATGTCAAACTTCGCCTTCGCACCAACGAAGCGATCCGAAACCGTTTTATAACTTCCATGTCAAACAGCCTTGGATCCTAGATTCCTCAGCTTTGTTTCCATTGGTACGCGGGTCTCCTACCATCCTTGATATTAGAAAAGAAACAGTATCAGTAGTTTAGTTATTTTTAGTTATTCATTACTCCTCTGTACCTCTTCAGTTGTTTATAATGCACAATTGTATTCTTCAACTTCTTCCCTTCTTCCATGATTTAGCAACTGTTGTTCGTAATGTGTAGTTTTATGACAAAGGACTCAACTAACTCATTTTTACACTTACTCCCTCATCAACCTGAAAACTTCAGGCACTTAAGCTAAACTTTATCACCAATCCAAAGGGTCACTCTAGCTCTTGCAATTGTAGTGCGATTTCTGATCAATGAAAAAAAGCCTACATCCTTGTATTGTCACCCTAACCGATGAATACACCTAAAGTTGTACACCTGTCATTGTGTTCCCCTCACACAAGCCGAATGATTTGTCTGGGGCATATCTATATGGTGCCTCCTTGTACCAATGTTTATGTGTTTAAATAAATTTGTGATAAAGCAGCAACAATGTCTATTTTGCTGTTTAAAATGTTCTTACCAGAGTTTGGTGACGTTTCTGTGGACGGCTGTTTTAAAGTTCAAAGTTAAGAAGTTATCTCAATGATCATCTTTTTTGGAACTTAACAACTGTCAACCTCACTCCAGTGTGTATACACGATGTTCATCTAATGTTCTATGATTGATACTGTGCATTTAAGTAGCCTATACATATATTTAAATAACTATTATATTGTCAAAAATTTCTCCGCTTCCAAATAATCTTCCTTGCTACTTGAATTTATGATTAGCTGTTTTTGAGTCATCCAGCTTCAGTAAACAGGTATTTTAAAAGTTATTTACTTTGACATGTTACTTTATTATGGTATTCACCGTAGATATGAACATCTGGTTGCATCAAGCTGTGAAATCTCGAGGCGCAGCAGGTGGTCCTCGTAACTATTTGGCTATATTTTTTCGTCGTTTATGCAAATTACTTTTCTTTGGAATCAAACCAGTATTTGTATTTGATGGTGAAACTCCAGCACTGAAACGATCAACTATGGTGAGTATTTTCTATTTACAATTCTTTGAACCGTATCACATTTTTTGTAATGAGTAGCTGATATAAATGAATGAGTACTCCACTTCCCATTAGCTATGATATGGATTTATTTTAATATTTTTATTCCTTGTAATGTGTTAAATTGCAAACATGATAGCAATTGAATATATAGGGTAACCATTAAAACTGTTCACCCGGGTAGTTTGCTGATTTCATCATTCCGGTGTTTGCCAACTGTAGGTTATAGCACTGAAAATAAAGAATAGTGGGATTGTTGTTTCAAGGAAGAAACTATCCCTTAGATAAAAACTAACATACACTGTTACATACACAAACGACCAGTAGCTATCTCTTACAAATCATGATAAATTTTATAAAGATAAGTAGTCGATAGGGACATAACACACTAGGTTGACTGGAGATCCACAACTCATTTTGTATGTGTCGTACATTACTTATGTAAACCACTTAATTTCGCGCGATTTTAATCCCTTATTTAGTAAATCTCAGCAAAAAGTGGAGCCAGGTCTCAAAGACTTATTGTTATTTAGATCGCATTTCGACTCTTGGACTGAGGAGAGGAAAACAAAGGGTTATTAAGTTTATGAGACATAGCTCCACAGTATGAAAGATGACTTTGAAGGACTGTGATTTGTCGGTCTATTCCGACTTTTCCGTTGGGGATCCTAGAGATTATACTCAGTGTATTGAAACGTTGTGAGACATAGATTAGAATAGAAGTTGTGTTTTTTGGTGAATATTACTCTTGTTCGTTTATTTAGTGATTGTGTAACCTTTCATTCTTCTACCTCTGCACAGTCTCATTTTCTTTGTTTAGTATTTCTTAGTGTCTTGTTTTATAGTACCTGTGTACAAATCCGTGTACCGATCTGTGGGTGACACATTGTATGAAGAGTTAATATTATTATGGTGTTATAAAATCGTGATTTAATTAGTTGGAGGATTCATTTGTCCTGTTTCGCGGCAAAATTGAACAACTGAAAAAATGTTAAATTTAAAATTCTCTCTGATTTTCTGGAAACTCACCTCGACATTTCTCAGTCGACCTGTTTTATTTTTGAGACAACTTATGTCTTATTCATACTAATCCTTTCACAATCATCAATTTTCGTCACGGTCATGAGTGCTCACTGATGAGTAGTCCCATACTGGGACGAAACACTTGTCCGACGTCCCCTGGTTTTTGATTGCTTTTTTTGATGTAAATTAGCTGCGAATTGAACAGTATTCACATACATTTTATACCGATAATAATTCAATATTTCATCACAATTTATTACCCAGTAAATAGTCTTTGATATTACTTTTGTCTCTTTCGATAAAACTCATTACGTTGATAAATCAAAAGTGCTTGAATTCGTCAGTAGGAGTTAGTTTTATCTACCTCATCAAAGATTAAACGGAACTTCTACATCATTGTAAACAGATCGCTACTGGCTTGTGTATAAAGTTTAATTAAGTTATAGGTATAATCTGAATGTTATATACCCTTCATAGAAGATACTGTTTATGAATAGAAACTTGGTAATTAACTGAAATTATGAATGAGGATTTAGCCTATTGGTCATATCGTGATTTCATTGGCGAGTGAGTGACCTATTCAATTCGCATCTCATAAATAAAATTTAATCCTGTTTACAAAGTGAGATTAAATTTGAAAAAAAACCATACAATAAAGAATAACTTGCTAGTTTGATTTAAGTTTATTTTTTGGCTTGTGTCAGTAACTTGATCTCGTAAGTAGTTAACGATAAACCACATTGTATCTTTGTACATCGTCTACCGATCATAATCCTATTCATAATATCAATAATTTAATTTAACAGTTGTGCAGTTTGACATTAACTATATTTCGCATTTAATCCTGGAATTTTCAAAACACTGTATAAGAATAAGGTATTTATTAATGTTGTGTTTTTCGGTGTGTGATCCTGACACTGATACCCAAGCTTCCTGTACAAGAGTCCGTCACATTTCGAATGTTGATTTTGTATTATTTAGAATTCAAGACGTCAGTTGCGTAGCCTAACCGAAGCAAAAGCAGAAAAAGCCCAAAAACATCTTCTTCGTCGACTTTTACGTCGTGTTGCAGAATCCTCTGTAAAATCACTGTCAACGTCACCGGATAAAGTAGAATATTTTGAGGATACTGGTTAGTTAAAGCTATATTATTTAATTAATCCAAAAAGTATTTGTTGTGTATAAGATAAAATTTCATGATTGAATCATTATTATAAGTTAATGTGAAATTTTGTCACATCTTCGAGCAGAAATGATTGGTTTTGGCTTTTTAGTATTCTGTGAAGTGGATATTTTAACTGGAAAACTTTTCTTGTCATTCCAAATAGCATCCATCATCAGATACTCCATGTAAAAGTAAATATTCTGATTATTCCACAAGCATCAAACCAGTCTATTCTGATGAGTTTGTTTGCAACTGATTATCGATAAAAAATTTACCTTCATTTATCTCTGCATTCCTGCTGACTATCGATGGGCCTCTGACTACGTAGTAGTTTAATCCATCCACATAATTTTGAATCCATTCAGAGGAAATTTTTGTCAACAAAGTAGGCTAATTTTCTGCCTCCGAGTTAGTAACAAAAATGTATAATCGTTGAATAATATTATGTGAATGCTGTGAACAAAGTCAGTTGAGAAGTCAGTCAGTCATGTACAACGTAGAACATGGCACATTAATGCGTCGCTTCGAGTCACCACACTACCTTAGAAGAGCGAGATGAAATTATCAAGACAAATATCAGGGTGTTTGAGTTAGTAACAGTATAAGTAGCAGTATACAAGATTAGGCATAGAATATATGATTCGAGAAGAAAGAATAGATCCATGGGATGAAATGTGTAAGGTGATTATAAACCACAGAATCCAAAGTATAACATAGTGAATTCGTCTGCATCATTGAGACGGATTCTGAGCCACATCACTTAAAGCTTTCAGCTACTGGTTACGATAATCAAATGGACCCCATCTAGGTAGTCTAAATCGACCAACAAAGTTCAGTCCAGTAGTCAGTAACTTCATGGACTGATGCCACGTCTTGGTTTGGCCACCCCTAAATTTCGTACAACCTCGTACACCAGACGACAGCGCAGGTCGAGATTAGAGGTGGTTGGGTATATGTATTATATATACCCAACTACCTCATTCTATGAATATTCACCACCTCATCTACAGGTTTCATATCTTTAACTAGTACTGTCTGTCTAACTTTGCTATTTCTTATTCGGTAGTTCGAACATACTCAAGTAATTCTCCGAAGGATTCTGTAATCAAATACTAGTAACCTATGAATAACCTCCATTTTAAATATCATGTTTCACAGACACACAATAGAACAACTCAAACTGCTGCTCGGTATACTCATTCACTGGCTAACAGACGAACGTTTTGTTTGTGCCACATGTCAAGTATGTTTGGATGATCCAACTGATATTTTTGAATTCGTGAGCAGATTTCTTGTTTGTTCCCAATTTTTTAATTAAGTTGAAAGCTCATTTATTTATGTGATTTGTACCATAGACCTAAGGTCCTGAGTTCGATCTCTGGTGATGGGTTCATGGATGTATACTGTTGGGGATTGTCATACTGAAACAGAACAGGTTTTCAATAGTGATCTAACTAAAGTCAGTTCATGATTTAATGTATGGAAATATGTGCACCTATCTTTTGCTAGTAAACTTTCTATCTCTGCTTATTTACAGCGAAAAATGAACTGTTAAGACGATTGAGACAACAGTCAGACTCTCATCAAGCTAAAGAAGATGCTAAGATGTTCTCAGCTCCAAATCATGACTCAACGTAAGTATCGTTTTTGTATACCAGCGATTGTAGGTTTATGAACCTATCATAAATATAAAAAGTATTTTTAAGAGTTCACTCTCTGTAATAAAACATTCTTTTGTGTGTAAAATTAATGAAATCTCACTGGACACATAGAAATGAATGTAATGTGTCAGACTCATAGTAAAAATTTCAGGATGATTGTCTGCTTAGTCAGACATGTAGATAGTCTGACAGGTGTCAGATGAGTTATATATTCCCCTATCCTTATTATTATTGAGACACTCACTTATTATTGATTGTTCATTGTTATTGGATTGTGTCGGGTTTTTGGAATGGAAATATATTTACGTTGTGGTCAGGTTAGTTACATGTTCTTGACCTGAGTTGTGTTGAAGTCCTGTAGAATGGACACTGGGAGGGAATCTAGTTTAGATATTCGTCTAAGGTAAATTAGCGTCCCATACGTGTGTACAAAGTAAAACCGAGCGTTATAACATAAACAAGCCGTGACTAGTGTTCGACTGTTTCGTATGTGAAAAACTGCCGATCAAAGACGAAGGGAGATGGTCGTGGAATCTCATGGATTTATTGGAACTAGACTTGTACACCGTCGGATCCCGGTCTGGTGGTCTAGAAGTTAAGCATTCACACGCGAAATCGGGGGCCTTGGGTTCGATTCCTGGTTTCATGATCGCGGATTCAGACTGCTGAGGAGTCTCATGCTAAGACAAGACGACCGTCCAGTGCTTCCAAGGTTTCCAATAGTTGTCTAACGTAAATCGATTTGTGATCTCAATGAAATTCAACAATTTCTACAGTCCCCATACTGATAATAAATTCCTTTAATTTCACTTACTTTTCGTGATCATTGATCTGAAATTTTTAAGAGGCGCGTTTGTTGATAATATGACCCGTTATTATTTTTCGCAAGTAGTTGGTTCGTTTCGTGCATGTGACATCAAAATATTTTTCACTGCTGATGCGGTTCTGAGATGACTTATCATGGACATTTTGCAACTCTTTAGATATAGAAATTTATTTAATGTGACTGGTTGCTTTTAGACACACTCGCGCACACAAATACTCCTTTACTAAAATGTCAAAAAACATTTTAGAAGAATCGCAAGTAAGCTACTTCAGAATAGGTGGCAATGATTCTTTAATTAAGTTGAGCAATGATAAATGAGTGGGGATTTAACCAATAAGGTCGCCTTCACTATCCTGTTATCTAATACAAAAAATCGAGTCATTATGTGTTTTTGGGTACATCCTTACCGCTTAAACTGAACTAAATGATTTATTCACACTGAAGAAAATCATTTCAAAACATGCGAGGTGTTTCCTTTTCCAATAGATTTGACTGTACTTATTTGTTAGTGATGATTGAATTCTGTTTGTAGTTTAATGTTAATCGTTATTCAATATTACTGATTATCGCTTGTTGTATAAGCAAGTCATTGATCAAGTTGTTCACTGATTTCGTTTTCCTGGTGCGTTGCTTATTCACCTACAACAGAAAATGAGTTTAAATCACTTAACTTTGGTTATTTCGTTATTGTATATAGAAGAAATAATTTTTCGGTTGCGTATAATTCCTTTTTTCTCTACATTGTAGTTCTACAGCATGTAGCAATGATAATAATCGTATGCTGAGTGAAAACGCCGGTCTAGAATACGATGAGCTGGCGCATGATTATCTGGTAGGTAGTCTTAGAGTAATCACATTAGATTTTATTTTATTTGGTTAGTAATAACCTGTATTGTAGTGAGGGATAATGGCTCAGTAAATGCGTATCATATGTTCGAATTACTCTGGTGTCGATCTCCTCAACTAATTTGTCACATTTGTTAAATCATATGCCGTCAGTGCTCCGCATGTGGCCCCACCATCAGCGAGTAATTATTTGAAGATACTTATTATCAAACACATGCAGACTATACACGTTTTTTGTTTCCTAAAGTCGGGCTTTATGCTAGTACAATAATAAACTGTTACACAGGATATACATCGTCCAGTAGAAAGGTAGCAGTCTTGTCTACTTTATAAGCGAGGCAGATTAATAGAAAACGTAACGAGGCTTCTGTACATATGGCTAAATTTCATCAGTAGGGGTAATCATACTTCGAAGTCAAGTAGTTTGATTTTCAGTATAGAGTTGTGTAGTGTTGTATTTCATTGATTTCATGAACAACCACGTACTGAAAATTGCCATCTCACTAGTAACTAGCTTTAAGAGAGAATTTATAGAGTTCTAGTGAGAAGCCGTGACTATTGGAGTTCAACCGTGTATGGTGTGAGGTAGTTACCCATCGAAGACAATGGAAGATGGTCCCGCAATGTCGTAGTGCTTGATTTGTTGGACTATATTTCTTAATATCATTTTAATCATTAATGCATACGTTTTAAAGGAAATGTATTCTAAATATTCTCTCATTCCTATCACTGAAAGTGTTCAAAAGACTTCAATATTCGTTCATCAATTCACTGTATTTTTTATGTATCCCAAGTAGATAAGAGAGTAGCTAGATACATGGATAAGGAATAATAACAAATCTACAGGAATGTTTAATCTGAATAGATATAGTGAATACTCAAATAAATCCGTGCTTAAATTTATAACTTGCTATAAGCTGTAACAAAGCTCCTAAGCTTGAAGAGATTACGATATCACCCGAAACCGGCAAATAAAACGAAAGGCAGCAACACAACAATAAGACAAACTAAACTATTCCATTGCACCCCAGCCGAGGGCGATGTATATCCTACAAGCAGTCGGAAGCACGAACGAACAAGCACACAACTGATGCGCATATATACAGTACAAAAATACCCCTGGAAAACGTCACAAAATAGCGTACCAAAAGAGGAAACGAACTAATGACATTTAGGGTCCTTCCAAGTAGGAAATACAATCTGAGGATAAAAATGGGCGCTTTTGACACGAAAATGAGAAGTTCAAATTTCCAAAATAAAATTACAAAAATAAGACGTTTACCAAGTGGTTCCTGAGGGTCTATCATCCCCAACAAAAGTTATAAATGCTTGAATATAGCGTCCCCCACTATTTTGATATACTTATTAGACAGGAGTAATTGTTTTTACCAACATTGGTAGTGTATATGCAATCTGCTTTTCACTTAAGTTATCATCCTCAAATTGGATAAACTTATAATTATATTCAAAAACGAAGAATATTTGAGCGAACAATTGTTTTCAATAACTTCATCATCAGGCTCTACAGTTATAAGTCCATAATTATAATATTTTACAAAGGCCAAGAATAAGGCATGTATTAATGAATTTGACAATGTTATGTGTTAAAAATGGTGAACGTTTGCATCTGTTACGATATATATATATACTTCAAAAAAAATTGTAATATTTGCAAATTAGAAAGGTCATTCAATAAAGGTCAGTAAATTGTTCAGTCACAATAAGATAATATAATAGTACTATTGCAAAATTGAAAATAATTTTGTCAACTGAGATAATAATAATAATAATGTTGTGTGAATATAATATGTAATAAGGGGGGTGTTATCAAGGTAATTACGGTCAACAAATTGGGAATGATGGATATGAAGATTAAGATATAGATAATGACAAATAATGATAATAAGGAAAATAAATAAAAATGAAGGAAGGAAGGGGTAAGAGGTTTATAATATTCAGTCTAGGTATTTGGTGATCTAGTCGTAGGCCAGGGTAAACATAGAGGCTGGATATATTTTTTCTGGATGCATAAGTTAGGTCTTCTGGAGTTGATCCAGATGGCTTCGGCTGTGTAAAGCAGTCGTAATCTAGCTCCTTGAGGTAGATATTTTGGAACTTGATATAAAACAGAGAAAGCTTCCTCTATTTTAATATGATGTTCACTATCTACCAAGTGAGAAAGAATGGTGCTGTTAATCGATTTGGTGACTCCTTTTCCCAACCATGCTGGTACATGTTCACGGACACGCAAGGATAAAGCCCTCTGAGTACGGCCTATGTAACTAGCTCCACAGGAGCAGTTGAATTGGTATACACACATGGAGGAGCCCATCTTCGGTAGCTTATCCTTGATTAGTTGTGTGAGTACTGGTTTAGTCGAGAAAGTTATGTGTAACTTGGCGGCATGAAACGTCCTCTCGACAGATCTTTTGAGTCGACGTGTTAGAATATCACCCGCTATGTCGCCTTTAAAGTCAAGTTTCAGATATAAGGTCTTCTTACTGACCGTGTCACAATGTCTTCTCTTTTTAATACTTTGGACGAGGTATTTTTTGACGAAATTATCCGGATAGCCATTATTACGTAATGTGTTCTTTAGTATAACTATTTCTTCCTCCACACTGTCTTCAGAACATAATACCTTGATTCTGTGGTTGAGACACTTAACCAAATTTATTTTATATTGCAGAGGTGTGAAGCTTTCGAAATGGGTATACTGACCCGTCCATGTACACTTTCTAAACATATTTCGCTTTATGGAACCATCTATCCTTCTAGAGAGTCGGACATCTAGAAAAGCTATGCTATTGTCCTTTTCCTCCTCGCTGGTGAATTTAATGGCTGGGTGGACATTATTGAAAGCTTAAAACAATTAGTCCCTTTGATAAATTTCGATAATGCAATGAGAAGACGTAGTTTATCAGAATTATGTGATATATTTGCGCAATACATTTCGAACAATCTGATCACACATATACTTGTTAAGAACATTTATATATGAAAATTAAAAGGTCAACTAGACAGGTTAAGGGTAAGTCATAACAAAGGAAAATATTAAAGTACACAAAAACAAATGTGATTACCACTCTGGACAGTAAATCAGTACTACCAGGGTAGGTTAAGTGTAAGTACAAATTGTTTTTGAACACATAAAGGGGGTTTCAATTTTCGTATAGCCAAGGCTTCAATAAACCTTAGTATACGTCCTTGAAGGCTTTTGTACAACACAACAAATGCTGATTTGATATCAACCTTATGACCCGTCTCAATCAAATGTTTCGCAATGGATGATGATGTCTGTCTATCCTGTGGTCTTATTTCACCATTGGAATTCATCTGATTTTGCAACCATTTTGGTATATGCTCACCCACCCTTATTTGCAAATCACGATTGCTCCTCCCTACGTACGTGTTTCCACACATACATGTAAATTTGTAGACACAATGGGATGTGACACAATCGTTTTCATGCTGTTTGGGCTTTTGGTGAAACATAGACCTTGTCTTTTCGATAATGACAAGTTGGGCTGCATAAAATGTCCGGTTGATAGCTAATTTAAGTCTCTGTTTCAACATGAGACTATTTGTGTCACCTCTGAATGGTAGCGTAATATAAACTCGCTTTTTGGGTGCCAGAAGCCTCATAGGTCTAGTCATATTGCAACCCTTCCAGCGGTTTATGAACTTCAAAGGGTAACCATTATTGATTAACGCATCGGTCAAGAGCTTCATCTCTACTTCAATAGTATCACTAGTACAAATACGATTGATTCTATTGAATAAGCTCTTTATTAAACCACGTTTATAATGAATAGGGCAGTGACTATGAAAATTAAGATACTGTCCTGTCCATGTTGGTTTTCTATATACAGCACGTTTGATGGAACCATCATCTCTCCTAGTAATCAGGATGTCAAGAAAAGGAAGTTGGTTGTTCTTCTCTTCTTCACATGTAAGGGAAATGTGGTTCTGACTACTATTGAATTTGTCTAACAAGTGGCTTATGTCTTCAATTTTATCGCCTATGATTATTATGTCGTCTACATATCGTTTATACAGACCCATCTTTCGAATTGAGTCTCCAACTAAATTTTTCGTCACATATGATTAATGTGTCATCTATGTATCGACAGTAATAATCAAGCTTATTTAGGATGTCTTTAAGCGGTCCATTTTCTAGTTTGGCTAGAAAAATATTAGCAAGGATCGGACCTAGAGGTGATCCCATTGCTACCCCACATTTTGTTATTGGGATAGGAATCTCTATTTTCTTTTCTATCAGTTGTTCACATATGTAATCTATAGTTTCAGTCAGAGGGATGTTAGTGAACAAAGATGTTATGTCTAGTGATAGCATGGTTTTTCCATTTATATCATCCATAAAGCGAAATATGTTTAGAAAGTGTACATGGACGGGTCAGTATACCCATTTCCAAAGCTTCACACCTCTGCAATATAAAATAAATTTGGTTAAGTGTCTCAACCACAGAATCAAGGTATTATGTTCTGAAGACAGTGTGGAGGAAGAAATAGTTATACTAAAGAACACATTACGTAATAATGGCTATCCGGATAATTTCGTCAAAAAATACCTCGTCCAAAGTATTAAAAAGAGAAGACATTGTGACACGGTCAGTAAGAAGACCTTATATCTGAAACTTGACTTTAAAGGCGACATAGCGGGTGATATTCTAACACGTCGACTCAAAAGATCTGTCGAGAGGACGTTTCATGCCGCCAAGTTACACATAACTTTCTCGACTAAACCAGTACTCACACAACTAATCAAGGATAAGCTACCGAAGATGGGCTCCTCCATGTGTGTATACCAATTCAACTGCTCCTGTGGAGCTAGTTACATAGGCCGTACTCAGAGGGCTTTATCCTTGCGTGTCCGTGAACATGTACCAGCATGGTTGGGAAAAGGAGTCACCAAATCGATTAACAGCACCATTCTTTCTCACTTGGTAGATAGTGAACATCATATTAAAATAGAGGAAGCTTTCTCTGTTTTATATCAAGTTCCAAAATATCTACCTCAGGGAGCTAGATTACGACTGCTTTACACAGCCGAAGCCATCTGGATCAACTCCAGAAGACCTAACTTATGCATCCAGAAAAAATATATCCAGCCTCTATGTTTACCCTGGCCTACGACTAGATCACCAAATACCTAGACTGAATATTATAAACCTCTTACCCCTTCCTTCCTTCATTTTTATTTATTTTCCTTATTATCATTATTTGTCATTATCTATATCTTAATCTTCATATCCATCATTCCCAATTTGTTGACCGTAATTACCTTGATAACACCCCCCTTATTACATATTATATTCACACAACATTATTATTATTATTATCTCAGTTGACAAAATTATTTTCAATTTTGCAGTAGTACTATTATATTATCTTATTGTGACTGAACAATTTACCGACCTTTATTGAATGACCTTTCTAGTTTGCAAATATTACAATTTTTTTTTGAAGTATATATATATATCGTAACAGATGCAAACGTTCACCATTTTTAACACATAACATTGTCAAATTCATTAATACATGCCTTATTCTTGGCCTTTGTAAAATATTATAATTATGGACTTATAACTGTAGAGCCTGATGATGAAGTTATTGAAAACAATTGTTCGCTCAAATATTCTTCGTTTTTGAATATTCTATGGGGATTTTTAAATTATAATTATATCTTTAGCCGAAGAAGTATTAATTATTTCGCTTTGGTAGTTCTATATCACTTTCTGACAACTGTATTGACGATAATTATATCTTTGATTTTCAAAAATATTTACCACTAAATCGAAGCGTATATTTTATGTGTACAAGACATGGTCAGAGAGTAGTCAATATAGAACATGCAACTTTTCAAAATAGCATGATATTACTGCACACTAATGATATATGCAAATATATCACCTTTAATGGTGATGGCATCAGTATTTAAAGTTTTTAAAAAAAGTAATTTCAGTTAAACTGTATTCAGCTGATATTAAAGACACTAAATTTTCAAGGTATCAAACTTTATACCAAAGAAGTATTAATTATTTCGCTTTGGTAGTTGTATATCATGAATGATATGTCTAGAAAGTTCCTCGGGTAACTGTTTAATTAAATAAATTCAAGTAGGCTAAACCTTTTAATACATTAGTTTGAGTTCTGTGAACTTGCCGCTAAATCAGAAAAAGTATAAAGATCTTCAACGTATAGAAGATATGGAAGAAATTTTTAATGGTTTAATGAAATGAATTCTTGTTTATTAAAATCAATTGATGAAATGTTAATCAATAAATGAGCCCAATGATACGGCGTGACCGAGTGTTGGGTACTCAGGAGAATGAGTTACTGATGTTGGTTTCTAAATGATTAGAAATCAAAGACAAGATCACTCTAGTCAGATGGGTAGCTCTTACTGATGTGATAAAATAACACGCTTATATGCAAAATATTAAGACAAGATAAACTTCATAATTATCAGTATAGGGGTTGTGGAGATTATTAAGTTTTGATTGAGATCATGAACCGATTGATGCTAGACCACTATTAAAAACCTGGAAGCACTGGACGGCCGTTTCGTTCTACTGTGGGACGGCCCGCTGGTCCAGTAGGCTAAGCGTTCGCGCGCGAGACTGAAGGCCGTGGGTTCGAATCTCGCGAGCGGGATCGTGGACGCGCGCTGCTGAGGAGTCTCACAATAGGACGAAACGGCCGTCCAGTGCTTCCAGGTTTTCAATGTCGGTCAAATATCAATCGGTTCATGATCTCAATCAAAAACCTAGTAATCTTCACAACCCCTATACTGATAATTTTCATGTGTTCACTAGTGACTAGCTTCGTGAGGAAATTGTAGTAAATCAGTTAAGACTTGACTGTTAGGCTTAATCTTTGGGCGTCACACCAGATTTATGTATATATTAAATAATCTAAAAAGCTGTTGAACAGTCCAAATATTGATGCATCGAAATCTGTTGTATTCAAGAAAGTGAGTCAGAAGAATCTCTTTTACAATATAACTACTTTTATAGCAGAATAAATTAATACCCTTGATATGTTAAGTGGTTAGAACTAGTCAACAATTGTTAACAAGTCATATTTGCAATCTTCAGGGGATCGATACCCACTGTGCTATTTAAACCAAGTTTGAGATTTTACCATTGAACTATTTGGGCAGCGACTGAACTCTTGTAGGACAGATATTTATGGGTGATTGGTCATTTAAAAGTTGATCGAATTGTATTGAACGATTTTTAATGTAGCCACTAGTTGAAGTGACTCGACATTGCGTGCATTATGTAGTCAGCAGGAAACTCGGGACTTAGGTTTTGTGCTAGTTGGGACACAATATCGAGTCACACGTATACTAGTTGATCACATTGCAACTTGGGGGCTATAGAATTCGATTAACTCAGTTGTAACATCTTTTGATATTGGAAGCCAGTCATTCTGTTATAACTCTGTTTCTTCTTACGGTTAATGACCCAGCTATTCCTATTGCTTAGTATTCTCGGACACCGATTCACTCGACAAGTCCCCAAATCAGAACACGGTTGAACAGGAAAAAGATTATATTCCAAATAGCAAGTCAGAAGCACAATAGGGGAAAACGTCGGTATATTTATAGTTTTTACATAAGAAGATTCCAGAGTATTCTCCGACTATCGACTAGTGCTGATTGGATAAGAATCAGCCAATCAGCGTGCACCAAAACAATCATGCATTGAGCATGCTTTAATCTAGTCTATGTCCCGCTAACACCTCCCCTCTGAGCAGATTCGTAGGATCTGGTGCTAGGGTCCAACTGCAACCGAGTGACTGGCCTGTGCTTTCGATTAGTCCATCGTCTAGGCAATAAAGAAGTATCACTCTTTTCTTGCACAGAAACTGATGTGTCTATTCCCGGTGTTTTGATTTCAAAGGTGTCTAGCAGAACATCAAGAGGTAATCGATATTGAATCTTGTTGCTGGCTATCGAAGTTGCTTTCAATTGGTTAGCATGACGTACCCAAACTTCCGAGCCAACTGACACCTCGTAAACCACACTCCCCTTCTTTTTCAAGATCCGACCAGCTGTCCATGTAGGATGTTTCCCACGATAGTCCATAGCAAGTACTTTTTGTCCCACCGTGAACAATTGTCTTTGTGCTCCATGATGTCGGTTGAACTGATTCTCCATCGATAGGTTTCGTTGGGGTTCATTAACTGGCGCAGGACGGATGACATCGAAATGTGTTCGTATTTTTCTTTTCGGTTTTCCTAGTAACCTATCACCTGTCTTCTTTGGAAGTACTGGGGTGTCCAATGATGAACGCGATACGTTACAGACACTGTTAATTGGTATATCCATTATTCCAAGTTTGTCTAGCATATCTAGACCAAGAAGATCAAGGTTCGGCCGTTCTGTTAGGTAACATATTCCTGTACAGTTAGTTCCATTGAAGGAAAATTCACACTGTAATTCACCAACCAGTTTTAGCACACCACCTGATGCGTTTTTAGCCGTTTTCTTAGATGGCTTCATTGGCGGTTTACCCAGCAAGTTATACGTTTCTCTAGACACTAACGTGATATCTGATGCCGTGTCAATTTGAAGACGAGCTGATATGCCGTTTATCTGGATGGTAACATACTTTCTCTGAATGTCATAGTTTGTTTGAAAAGCAGCTACCAGAGAAAGAGATTTAGACTCGGCTGATTTCACATGTCGAGGACGTTTATGCTTCTTCTTAGGCTGAGACGTACGCTTCGGTGGACAATGACCTTCTTTATGTCCACGTTTGTTGCACTCCTGACATTTATGCTTCTTGAATGGACAGAATCGTGCATAATGCCAATCACCGCATAACCAGCATGCAGTCCTTGGTTTGTTACGAGTTGTTACCGGCTTCTGAACTTTTAACCTAGTAATAGTATTTACACTACCGCAGGTTAAATTAGGATTTACCTGTTCAATCAACTCGTTGTCGTGTCTGATGCTTTGTAGACGCTTACACTCATCTGTCAATGTTCTGAGTGTGACGTTTGGGTCTTGATCCAGTCGAGCTAAAAGTCTCGTCCTGATCTCAGCATCTTGTGGTGACTGAAGAGCTTTGATGAATATTAAGCATTTAAATTGGTCATCAGTCAACGAGCGTAACTTGAAACGTTCACATTCTCTGTTGACAATGTCTGCTAGAACACCATATTCATCAGCTTCGCGTTTCACCAAATTTAGACATCGATATCGAATACTAAACAACGAGGATGACTCGCCGAATATCTCTGACAACTGAAATACCGTCTCCTCGAAACTGAGCTCTCGAGGTAACTTTGGCAATATATGGTCAGCAAAACGTGCATGTTCATTGCTTCCCAACTTACGTACCAACAATCGGGTCTTCCACGCATCGTCTTGGTTACAGAATTCTGTTCTAAATGTATCTTCCCAACGTTTGAACCACGTGAGAAAAGTATTTCCACTTTCGGGATCATAGATGAATTCTGGGATGCTGCTAGCGACTGCATCACAAGACGTACTTGAAATAGCATGTGAATTCGAGCAGTGGATGTTAAGCTGTTGAGTCAGGGTCTCTAACAACCTCATTTGTGCATCAAGTTGTGCTTGCTGTTGTAGTATTCGGTTAAGCTGGTCATCTGATATGGGCATCTTGAATTTGTTTTCCTTTTTCCCCGTCGCCACTGTTATAACTCTGTTTCTTCTTACGGTTAATGACCCAGCTATTCCTATTGCTTAGTATTCTCGGACACCGATTCACTCGACAAGTCCCCAAATCAGAACACGGTTGAACAGGAAAAAGATTATATTCCAAATAGCAAGTCAGAAGCACAATAGGGGAAAACGTCGGTATATTTATAGTTTTTACATAAGAAGATTCCAGAGTATTCTCCGACTATCGACTAGTGCTGATTGGATAAGAATCAGCCAATCAGCGTGCACCAAAACAATCATGCATTGAGCATGCTTTAATCTAGTCTATGTCCCGCTAACACATTCAATTTAAAGTATTCGTTTATCACAAAATGTGTAGTTTTATTTATCTTTTTTTAACGCTTCAATGTTAATCCCACTATACGACGATACCTCTTTTGATACTTATGTTGTATTACATTTGTATGTCGTCAACTAATAATAATACCACTAATAAGTATTAATATCTTTGACTCTTAAACGATTTTTTAAGGATGCTTTCTATTCATCGGATAAGAAGTTTTCTGGGGTTGATCTCGACTCAGATGCATTCCGTGCACTTCCTTTACCAGCTCAATTACGTGTTGTTCAGCTGTTGAGAGAAGTATTAGACTCTAGTTCATGCCGTAACAATTTAGTGCAATTTGATGATGAAGGTAAAGTGAGTTCCGATATTTTCTCTGGATAATTTCATCTTGTTGTACTGATATAATGATTTTGTAACTTGATTCACATGTATACTTAGTTCCACGTTGCTTACGGTTAACCGAGTGAGTACTTATTTTATGTGTGTATGTGCCTGTGCTAATGAAAATAGTTTAGTACGTTTTCAGATTCACTCAACAATAGCTTATTAGTTAATGCACTTTACAATTTCCACCTATCAGTACACAGATTTGAACCTACCACTTTTGTTTTTCTAGCCTTCTCACCAAAATATGTAGCTTAAAGGTGAGTACTAGGTTCTAAGCTGTTTTAATCTAATACTTAATTTAATGGCCTAACTGTTTTAGTATTCATGTCGCATTCTATAATTCTTTTCTAGTCCCAGTTTTTCTCAGGTACCAGTCAACAGAAGTAGATGTGTGGCGATTAAGATCTTTTCAATTTATATTAATAACTCATCTTAAATAGTGAAGAAAACCTTAGCCAGTTACCTAACTCAACTTTTTTCACCCTAAAACTTTAAACTGACCACTATTTGAAAAAAACTTGAATTTAATACTAATGTGTTACTATGCCTAAACATTTAGCTTAACAAACAGGCCTTAATTGATTGTAGGCTAAGTGATCTTCAGAAGCGAATCCTTCCAATTGCCAATGAAATTTGATCGTGCTTATTTTGTGTTCATATTCTGCATATAAGCATGTTTTATTAAACAAAATATATCTGTTCATCTGGCTAGAGTGGTCTTGTCTTTGAGTTCTAATTATTCGGAGGCTTACATCAATAGTTCTTTCTCGTTAGCACCCATCATTCAGCCACTCATCATATCATCTCGTTCATCTATCAACCAGCATTCTACTCCACTAATTATAACAGTCAGAAAATCCTCTCATCAATCACTGAAAACGTCCTTCATAACAGTGTTTATTTTTGACTTTCACTTAAGACCTTCCTCTATTTACTTCAGAATGGAGGGGTTTGTGGAGGTTGCAGAATTTTCATAGTGTAAGTCACAAATGGATCTTAGCTAGACCGCCGTTGGAAACCTAGAGCCACTAGACACCTGTTTCTTCCTAGTATGGAACTCCTTAGAAGTGAGTATCCTCGATCATACGTTCAGGACTGAAACCTAGGACCTTCGACTAGCAAGTCCCAAATAGAAAAACACGCGCATCCTGAATTCCACTGCTAGCCGCATTCCATATATTCTATATAAACAGTATTCTTTAGAAGCAGCACTGTAATGAATCTTGACAGTCATTGATGAAATATTTCGCATCATAATCAGTAATCTTTTTTTCTTTCCAACTTTGCACAAAGCACAATTTAACCCAGAACAGTTCTCAGATGTTCAAATGAAACGTTTGCTTTTACGTCGTCGTTTAGCAGAACGTCAACAAGAGTTATCTGATAATCTAACTAAACAAGAAGCTGTTCAACAAATTCTTCAGTTAAACAATTCTATGATAAAAAATATTCTAACGAATCAATCGTTATTTTCAACTTTACCGTTTTCCAATACGACACAGCCGACTACTGCTTCAGAGACTACTGAGACCATAGCTACAGCTATGCGTATTCAGTCACAAGATGTAGGACATGCTATACTCATTAAAAAATCTCCAGTGAATCAATTGGACGAACGAACTAAATTGCCTTCATCTACACTATTGAATCTTGAAAAGTGAGTATGTCCTTCGAAAGCTCGAATATAAACATATATCATTGAAATTCTGAACTGATCTAAGCTAGACCACTATTGGAAACCTGGAAGTACTAGAGAGCCGTTTCGTTATAGTATGGGAATTCTCATCAGTGGGCATCCATGGCCTTGCACTCGAGGATCATACCCAAAACCTTCGGCCTCACACGTGGACATTTTGCACTTAGGCACTTCATTTTTAAGGTAGTTGCTAGGACATGTGGAGGCAAGGCTTTTTCAGTTTATTGTCTTTAAAGATCAACTAATTGGATTCTCGACTTTGTTTATTATTAAAATGTGATGAATTTGCTACATTCGACTTCTCTGAAATAAACTGATAATTCTAGACAGTTCTGTAAGACTCAAACAAAGTCTAAAGCAGTAAATATGGTAGATTTTGAATTCCAGTGGAAGAACTCGTTAGATACTTGTCTATTACTTGAAAAACTTGTTTCAGACTGTTGATTTAGCCTCTTTACTTAAAGTCGAATCGATCAAGTTTACATTACATGGATAAAGTATAATTTATTCTCAGAAAATTATGTTCAATATTGATAAGTAGAAACGAAATTGCTCAGTTCCAGTGCACCACATCTACTCAATACGAAATATTAGACCCATACTAAGTTTGTCATTCAACAAATATCTTCCTTTTAAGTCAAATAACAGTGGTTTCATTCCAAATGAAGACGATTGCTTTGTAAATGATGATTTTACACGTCTGTACACTTATTTATTTAAACACATATGTGCTGGTACAAATAAGAACCAAACTAAATATGCGCCATACAAAAATAAGTGAAGAGATGGACGAAGTAGGATGAATATAATCAAAAAATAATTAATAAATAAGAGTAGTAGGTAGTGAGAGAAGCAGTCCAGTTAGAAAAATATATCTAGAAGAAATCCTTCCTTTCGGTTCATGAAGTTCCTCTCACTTTTATGAAGAAAATAGATTACGGCAGTATCACAATTGGTTTCTGTTTCGATCCATGTTTGACAATGCTTCAAGCTCCTGAGTTGCACTATCTCTCGGACCTCTGCCGGGGAGTCTTTAAAAACCGACAAACCTCGGCCCTATACAACATCCTTTCGTACCACATTACCATGTCATACACTAACCACCTCTCCGCTCTTTTCAATCGGTCAAGGCATCGGAAAATAATACACGATTTGGAATTCGCTCAGACGATATTCGTATTACATGTTCAAGCCACTGAATTCGGTATTTCCAGATGGTGACACTAATCGGATTATCGTCATTGTCTACGATCACACATTACCCAGCTTTCCCATTACTAACATTGTGTTGTCACTGTCATTAATCCTTTGGACACAATGATGATCGAACACAGAGTAGTCGAACATCTTCAACTCAGAGAGATCAGGTTTCACAAGTATTCATCAGAACTGCTCTCACCTCAGGATTGTAAACCCAGCCTTTCGCAACCACACTAACATTAGGATGACGTCAGTGATGGCCTAGACTGTTGTAAACCGATCTGGCTTTCACTACACGTATATCACTCTCATCTGACATTCCGCCACCATCACATATGGCTATCCAAGCCCACGAGCTTTTCTACTAATTCTGATACTCCATCACTAAGAGTGAGTGTAGGCAAAGGCTCTGGCTAGTCTTGTAAAAGTGCTAAATTCAAGTTTTTTTCCTGAGTAAATTTCTTCTCACACAATTAGTTCAAATGATTAGTCTATGAAAGTATTCGTCTATAACAACTATGTTGACATGTACAGTATTATAGAAGCTATTCAATGTAATGGCTCCATGTTTAAATTACTCAGTAGGATTGATTTATTCAAAATATTGTCATTTCTAATAGTGAATGCTCAGAAGCAATTTTTGTAAACCTTCTGTACATGCATACAATTTTTTCTGTTTTACTCAGATTAATTACATATAATACTGAGAACTTAAATGTGTCTGATGAATGCAAAAAAGTGGAAATTTCAAAAGAGGACCAGAACAAAGAAATACCTAATGACGGTTATATGAGTGAAAACCTATGTTCAACACAAGAGACAAATATTTCTACAAATGAAAATATTGTATATAACTCTGAATGTACACCAATAAAACTAGTTAATATCGAGGAATATTCAGATGAACATCAAGTGTCTATCCTATCACATGTGACTGACAATAAAAGCCAACTTAATAATAATTGCGAAAATTATAATCAACCACTTACGAAAAATTCTTTAAATGATAATATGTCCAATGACTTTCTTCCAGAAAGTTCATCTACTATTCCTAAGTTTGATAAGTCATCGGAGTTTATCGAATTACCTATTTCAGAACATTCATGTGACCTTATGGGAGTCAAAAATGATGAAATTACTGCTGAAATTAATGTATTGTCTTCTGATATAAATGAATCAAAATCTTTACAAGTACCTCATCAGGACAAAGATGATGAGATCAAAAGTAGCAGTGATGATAACGATGATGATGATGATGATGATGACTTTATCGAAGTTGAAACTCACGAACAAGTTGAAATTTCGAATACATCTACTGACTCTAATTCATCACAAGAATATTCTGTCGATGAAAACAATGTTCAAAATGAGGATAAATTAAATTCTGTCTTCACTGAAGAAGAATTAACCAGTAAAGAAGTTTCCTATGAAACTAATCAACAGAAAGCTGTATTATCATCTGAATTAGTCGTGGATGACTATACCATTGATGATGATAGTGATGATGTATTGAGAGAAAAAGCTGATCGTTTGATGCGTCAAGCTCAGTCGACAACTACGCGTTGTATTTCAGAAGCCCAGGTAAAAAATCCCCATTTTTTATTTGTTTAGATCAAATTTAAATGTAGTTATTAAGCAGTTGTAGTTAATAGCCTCGCATGTTGATACTTTGGTTTATCAAGCCAAATCAGGGTAATTTAATCCTTATATTTTCTTTAACGCTTGACTATTGAGGCAGAACTTTTTATCGATTTACCTAAATAAGTTCAATTCAAAATTTGGCATTTATTTGTAAATTTCAAAGTTCTCGTCGTCGAATTTCTAATTTCTCAAATGTGTAATTAACGCAGAGTCAGTCAAGATTACATACTGGGATTGCTGACATTAAATATAATGAAATAAGAAGTATTACTGTTAAGCGACATGAGTACTTAGAAATCATCTATACATTTTTCTATTTATCAGTAACACACACAGTTGTGAGTACTGCCAATATGTGTACTTGACTTCCAGCAACATTTAAAGTCCGAGAGCTGGTGATACTATCCAGTTATCTAAACTAAAGTAGGTGGAGGGGGTAGGTTCTAATCCGCGAATTATTGGCTAAAGACTGAACTCCTACATGCCAGCTGATTATGGAAACCTGTGATTTGTTTTCTATACTGTTGAACCGAGGTTGAAGTAAATCCTCTACATTTAATCTAATAACACGTCCAGATTCTTATTTTCCCATCAACTTAAAAATAAATTACTGGTTATATGACGAGTAATTTTACAGCCTCGTTTGTAAAACAGTTAATATTTACGATTAAAATCCCACAACTTGAGGTTTTCTAATCCTAATATAGTAGTACTCTTCCAATCGGAACTAGACAGTACAGTTATTAATTATCAGGAAATTAACGATTTCGCTCGCGGGATTCAAACTCAGGACCTATCGGTCTCGCGGGCGGAATAATAGATGCACATTGCTGAGGAGTCCCATGCTAGGATGAAACTGCCTTCCAGTGCTTCCACGTTTTTCGTGGTGGTCTAGCTTCAATTGACTCATGAATTCAACTATTAAATGACTAAAATCTCCACAAAACTCTTCTGATAATATTTTAATTTTGTCTGTAAACTATCTTTCGAAAAAATAAGTACATAGACTGAAGTAACTTATCCGGGTCATTATGAAAATCAAAACTGACCACCAAGTCAACATATCAGTTGTGCAGCTGAAAGGGTTTTTTGGAGATTGGTTTTATTTATGGGTTGTATTCGTCATGAATTATTGATCTCTCTATCTCGCAAGTTGATCAGGGTTGAAATTATACGCTTGGACGCCAACGAAGTGGCTCTAATAGTTAATTATTCTTTTCTACGAGACTTGAAGATTCTGGATTCGATTGTCAGTGGGTTCGTAAATCTTTACTACTGAGGAGTCGTATTCTTGGTCGTAATAGTTGCTCAGTATACCCTTTTTTGATGGTATCTCGACCGAGATTAGTCCGTGACGTGTAAAACCTACAAATATCATCTGTTTGTCAAGTTTCTTACAACTTTTTGAAAATATTATGATCTTAATAATATTTATAGGGAAATATCTTATGGAGGTAGTGATCCCATTAAAAAAACTTTCTATAAAAACAACCAACTCCCTTTAGTGTTTCAGTTCGAATTCTGGGAAAGATCCCTTGTGCTTCTTCACAGAATTACATCTATAGATTAGGTTGTATATACTGTAATGCTTCTATGTATTGGAGAGTCTTGTGAGACTTCGACTTCCTGCGAAAAAATAACACATAAGCTGCACAAAACTATCTCTTAATCATCTTATGGAACTGTAAATTCTACACATCAAATCATCAATAGCAATTTGTGATACTTTCAACGACCACCAAATTAATTTTAAAAGTGCCAGAATAAATCAAAAAGTTATTTCCAATCATGAAGAAAGCTAAGTAACTGAAAATGTTTATATATTGTTAAACTCTACAGTTGTCAATATAAAGGAAGGCCTAACTAACTATTCAACTTGAACGGTTTATCCAAACAACTTCAGTTCATTCTATTCACTTCTCTTACCATTAACACTTATAAATTTAATTTGACTCATTAACGCTTAAATATATCATGTTTTTTCACATCTACTTAAATAAACACAAATGCACAGGATTATGTCACACACACATACCTGCAGAATCAGCTCAATAGAAATGAAGTGACGTTGATATGATCCGACCTATTTCTATTGTACCATATTTTCTGCTTTGTTTCCTTTGTATTATTTAAACTTGTGTTAATTTAGTTCGATAATTTGTTTATTCACTTAAGGAGCGACTTGCACCAAGGAGATTTTCAGAAATTTGATTTTCCATTCATTGAAATATTACAAATATCCACATAGTATGCACAATAGCCTGTGCCCTACTTGTGAAGGGAAAAAATGTGCGCACACTCTACTGTGGACAACACACTATCATTTGAGGGCTAGTGATGTTACTTATATTTGCATAAACCCGTAGTAGACTGAGTAGGATTCAAATCGATTACTGAGTAGTGCTTGAATATCGAGATCTTGAAAACGATAAGACACCAGGTTATCTTGGACATGTATGAGTTCAACTCTATTATTATTATTATTATTATTATTATTATTTTTATTCAACCAAGTACTGTTTTCTTATATTTTGTAGGATCTACTTCATTTGTTCGGATTTCCATTCGTAGTTAGTCCAGAAGAAGCAGAAGCTCAATGTGTAGCTTTACAACGTCATGGTCTAGTTGATTTAGTTGCAAGTGACGATTCAGATGTATGGCCATTCGGTGTTAAACTTGTCTGTCGTCATTTGTTTGGTACTGGTGGTGGTGATAATCTAAAAAGAATAACAAATCCTTCCATTTACAAACTGGATGAAGTAAAACGTAAATTAGGTAACTTAATTGCTTTAAAAATGTAATAGTTTACTATTATAAGTAAATATAAAGTTCAGTCACGTTTAGTGTCTGTCAACCATACGTTATTACTTAACAGTTGGATAACTCATAATAATAAAATGTTCGTACTTGTGTACACCGTCCCATACTTCATATTTAGAGTATATTTTTAATCAGAAGTGTATGTATTCACGCTTTATAACTTAGTGCTTGGTTCTTTTGTAATCATCGGACTGTCTGTTTTGTCATGTCAGAAGAAAACAAAAACACAAGGTTGCTTTCTTAGGTTGGATTGCATTGCATCTCGTGTGATCGGTATGTAATATCAGGAAATATTCGTATTATACACTAACGGATTTCATTTGACTTTATTCTTAACCCTGACTGAAATTTTGATGAATTGTTTGTTGTATAAGAGATAAACTCGATATTACAGTGATTTGTCTTTAAATTTGAATGTAATCGTTAGAAACACCTGTTGACACACATCAGTAACGTGTGTTTGATGCTTTACCTTGTATTCATAACTGTTGCTTGAGGCAGAAAATCGGAATATTACTCATTTAATTGACTCCGTGGAAACATATAAGTAGAACTTTTCTTCTCATTGGTAATCATCATTGAATTTGTGAGCTAGGATGCTGCCCCGGTTGTCCAAACCGAGGCAAGTGGTTTTCTTAGAATGCCACTCCTCATGCCTTTGATCTAGATGTTTGATCCAATATGTAGTAGAGCAAAGTCATGAGATAAGATCCCGTGGTAAGCCGGTAACTAAGAATACGTTCGTACGCTATTTATTTACTCAAGATTCTTGAGCTCATGCCCATCATTGGTTTTAAGACCAATGTTTTACAACTCCCCTAGGTGGATCCTCCGTACCGATCGTATATTACGAAACTAGATTCATCAATCTATTTTTCATCCTACTTACACAGATTTAAATGACGAAATCATACATAAATGGGATGATAGCCAAATATAAATATACTTACGAGTTGATGTCATTATTTTTATTACTATCACAATTATGTAACTGTATATCATAGTTAATGTACTCAACATTTACCATAACAATTCGGAATATTTAGGCCTTACTATAGAAAATATTCTCCGTTTGACGCTTCTCTGTGGTAGCGATTATACACATGGAATTGATCAGGTTGGTCCAGTTACAGCTATTGAAATATTGAGTGAATTTGATGACGGTGATGATTATTCATTAAATTGTGAAATTAATAACTGGCTTCATGGTGTTGTTAATGAACCTTCCGAAAAATTACTTCATGATATCTTACAACCACTAGAACAATTCACGTAAGTTCCATTTTCTCAAGTTCATATAATAAATAACATCAACTTTTGATCTATTATAAGTAGAAGAATAAACGACAGTGGCAAACTGAACAATCTAATGTTTTGCCATATTGTTACCCTTATTTCGATTATTATTATGAGCAAGTGAATTATGTGTTCACTTTATTCGCCTAATCATAAGTTTTCATCTGACCCATGAACTGTCACTATTATATCTAAACGAAGACCAGAAGAATAGGAACTTCCCTGTACTAATTTACGGACTATTATTATATATATAATATAATTATTAAGTAATTAGCTTATTATTATTATTATATATTCCTTCTATCATAAGTTTTCGATTGACCCACTAACCACTGTTACAAAATTTAGTGTTCTCAATTTATTCCCAATCTGTTATTCACAGTCTCTCTTACTCTCGGTCACTTTTTTGGCTTGATCATGTATAACTGTTATTTCTTGTGTTATTGTGTGATGTGGTTTGGTCTGCTTGTACATAAACTACGTCTATCTGAAACATGAGAACAATCTTGGACTGGTGATTTTTGGTCTTGTGTTCTTCCTCTTCGTTTGGGGTTGGTTAGTATTGGACCAAGCGCCAAGTATAGAGTATCAGTCTTTCTTGTCCTTGTTGCGTATTGGTTGCTTAAGGTCATTTATGTGCATTGGCCGACATTAGGACATAACAACCACTGTATCTTATTCTGTTCTCAAATCACTGTAACTTAATCATGCACTTCGTATCCTGAATGCTTTACTCTAAATATCCTATTTAGGCACTTATTGTATTTTCTTATTTATCGTGTTATATTCCATCTCTTTTTATATTTGAAAACATCCCTGAAAATCTTCAGAAATCAGGATTTTTAGCTGTCTCGGCATTCTGTGATAATAATGACCACATATAATTTCTCAATATTTGGTTCACTAGCATTCATCTGAACAGTGAATTAAAAACTAGAAAAAACAAGAGACAGTGAATGTTCAATCTTTTTTCATGAACATAGGAGGATGTCAATAATCACCATTCTTTTTATCCCATCCTTATAGTACTCAAAAGCTGTCACTGAAAAGTTTAATTCGTTTAAAGACAGATGCCTTGTTTTTTAATCCTTTATCTTTCTATGAATAGTTCATGGTATTTCTTGAGTTTCACAAAAATTTTAAATTACCTGTTTATACACTGGGAAAAACCAAAGTATCGTTACAAACTAAAATCTCATTCATTTTGTATTGTTTGCTTGAATCTTCCCATTGATGTTTAGAATTAAACGTCAACTCTGAGATGCATGTTCATCCACCTGACAAGTCCAAAATAAGGAGGAAATGCGCGTCCTTGATTTTACTGCTAACCACTATCCATCTTTGCTTACAAAATCTCATAGTACATTTAATAATACTACTTTGAAACTTGACTTTATAACATTCATAGAATGTGCATAAAACAATATAAATTCATTATCTAATCTATAAGAATGATTCACTAGTTTGTAATTTATATATTATTAAAAATCTATCTTTATTTAGACATTGGTGGCAAACTACTCGTTCGCAAAATTCTTCACAATCAATGAAAATACTTCGAATAGCTGAATCGAATCCAATTAGACGTCGTTGGATAAATTTGAAACCATATCCAGGTATGTACAAACAAATGTTTATGTATATCTTCCGTTTAAAATTTCAGTGAGAATACAATTTATGGACGACCTTTGAGTGACGCTAATGTGACCAAGAGAATATCCACCTATTAACTACGATTAGATTAGGGTTATAAACCAATGTGAAGAATCAATATTATAATTTACAGTTGATGGTTAGGAACTAGATTTAGAGTTTTTATCAGGAACTGACATCAGCCGAAAACGTCTAAACGCTATTTAGCCAAATGGATGAACGAATTTCGCGTCAAGCTCCAAAACCTGTTATCGTATATCTGATTAGTTCGTCTATAAATTTCCCTAATCATGTTTGATGCTCTTTCATCTATTTGATGTTGATTGATTTCAAATGAAAACTCAGTGTGCTTTCTATGTATGTTAAGAATAAATCAGGTCATTTAGTCTTTCTATCGCCATACATTTCATTTATTTCTTTAAAATATGATTACAATGAGATTTTTCTAATTCAGATTTCTCTAATGATCTTTTCTGTCATCTAAATGGTTATTATCGTTAGTAACTTGCTTACACTGTTATATGTGCTCTAAAGTGGTCATTATATGTCACTATAAAATCAGAGTTATTCTTTTTCAGTATTTTGACTGCTGTATGAATTATAAAATTATTCTAGAACATAGGATGTTTTCTATATATCAGCGGTTGTATATGATTAAAGTTAAAGAGTTGTTGTTTGACAGACGTCTGGTTTATTCGAGTTCATATTCACTGCGTCACATTAGAAGCCTCAATTTATTTATTTTAACACAAACATTGGTACAAGGGAGAACCAAATACATATGCGTCACATAACAACAATAAGGTCAATAGTAATTTGGATTGATTTGTGTGAGGGCTGTGATACTGCCCGATTCCCGAAACTGGGGCCACACCCGCAGCGTTTGACCTGAAGGTCTAATCCATAAAGCAGTGGAGTAACGTAAGGAGATAGCAGTCCCATAGTAGCCAGTGACTAACAATAGGTTCACATGCCTTTTGTTCGCTTAGGATCCTAGAGCCCATGTGGATCATTGGTTTGGAATCAGGGTTTTTCAACTCCGCAAGGTGGATCTTCCATATCCCAGTTAAAGCGCCGGACATTCACTTTCCGTCCTCTTAACTTCGTAAACAACACCCCCACCGCGAGAAGGCAGTGAGTAGGACTTCGCTGACAGTGGTTGTATACGCGTGGCCGTGTGAGAGCTTTTCGAGAGGGAGAGCTGGCTCTCCCCACCCTCGGCCATACCAGGGCATTTGGGAATTCTAAGCACGTTAATTGTTTTTCTGAGGATAATTACATATAGTCGATTAATTTTCTTTCAAAAGTATATATGATTTTATTCATACATTTGCATGGGCCTAAGAGACATTAGAGAAGGTATTGTTTCATTACAACGGTTTCCTGTTATTTATCTTTTTTTAATCAGGGTTTCCAGATAGCCGTATTGCACGTGCTTACCTCTACCCAAATGTCAAAACCGATTTGCCGCCGTTTAAATGGGAACCACCGAATGTACCGCTTCTTGTCAAATATCCTTTTTTTGAAGAAAAGAAAACGTCGCACAACTAGTTAAGAAAAGAACTAGAAAGTGTTCCAATTTGTTTATAGAACATCAACTATATTAGCGGATGACTCTAACATGAGTAAATTACGACAATAAATTGTCATAATTTTCTCTGAGCTGGATGTTTTAGTCGTGGAGCTCTCATTGTTCTCCTGAACAACATCAGCACAAACTTCAGGTAGAAGTGAAGTGTTCGAACCCCTCTACATATGACTCACAGCTTGTCATACGTGGAGTAATTCGAACACTTCACCTCCACCTGAAGTTTGTGCTGATGATGTTGTTCAGGAGAACTATGAGAGCTTCACGACTAAACCATCCAACTCAGAGAACAAAACTCCACTTGAATTACAAATTTTTTACACCATCTCGAATTGTAGTCTTTAATATTCGAAAATCAACATCGTAAGATGATTTCCTCTAGTACTATCCATTCTTTCATCAACATAAAATCGTATGAATGGAGTTAAATAAATGTAGATTCATCACGATAGTGAATAAAAACCCTACCTATCCATTCAGTGTTAATCATTGATTTTAAAGCCTTTAATGTTTATTAATGCTTAATTTTTCGTGAAGCACGGCTTATGAAATTCGCCTTGTTAAGTGCAAGTTGTGTATTCCAATAGTAAATAACTAAGTTTTAGCTGTAAAACAGATTGTATAAGTGAATATGCAGTTGTCCTAAGAAAATGGAGAAAAAGCTGTCAAGATATAAGCGTACAAAGAAAGTTTAATGATAAATTTGTTTATCAAGGATCTTTCTGTTGACTTGAAAACTCTATGGATCATTAAAATTGAGTTATAGGCAATGTGAATTAGATCTATCCTTAGTGACTTAAGTAATTATTGCAACTTAGGAAATGCTCTTTTTGTAGTCTTGGTATCATACTTATGTGAAGACCACACATATTATTAAATTGCTTAAACGAGCTCAAATTCAGCTGTTAGATCGACTGAGATATTATAGATAGAGCTTAGGAACTAGATGTATTCTAATTTGACTGGTGTTGACGGCTTACCGTCCCAGTTTATAAAAGATGAAACTTTTTTGATAACCACAGAGGAAGTGGCTTATACTGAGTCACGAAACGTCAGAAAATTTAATTTTTCTACTCATTGGGATATTACAAATATATTAATTTACTCACACAGAGGAATTGGTGTCTAAAATATTACTCAATAGTCAATCAATACTCAACTAGGGCTTGCGAACAGTAAATCTGGGAAAAACAGACTGGTTCCCAACCTGGACGTGGATTTATCGACCAACTGTTGAACTAATATATACATATGTACTAAGTTGTTAATGACAGACTATCCGAACAAGGGTCCAAACTCCTTACTAACTGATTTAATCATTTATGCCTGGATTATCAGGTGGAAACGCCTCCCCCAAAAATGTTTGTAGTAAAGGGAAATAATCCAATACTCATAAGTGGATAAATTGAACAACTTTAATTCCCGATTCCAAACATGTCAATGTTAATCATGAATGAATAGAAGTTTGTTACTATTCTTCCTTAGTTTTTTTCTATTACACACACGTGAATACCTTATTGGGATGGAATACTGAAAAAACAGAAGCTATGTTGGCTTCTGTACTCAAACATAGACAAAATATGGAGCTTGGGGATCCTAGAGAAATTCTTTCGTCCAAATCACTTATAACAAATTTTTTTCAGATTGAGAATCAAAAGATTTTCCAAAAATCAGAAATTGCTAGTCATCCCGTTGATTCATCAGAGTTGGATGAAGTAAGTTGTATTTTATGCTGGAGAACTATAATTAATTATTAGAGAGTCTGGTAAGAAATATCAGACAATCTTTAACATTTCCAGTATTTTTTTAGTCTCATATATATATATATATAGAGAGAGAGAGAGAGAGAGTTATGGTTAATCGAGATACCCATCTCTTTTTTAAACATCACTGGGTGTTTACTCGTTTATCAGTAACTATCACCAGTAAGTCCTAACGCTGCATAACTTGGCGCACATTATCAGATTTTTAACTAACGTCAGTGTTTGATTAATTTAGAATCGGTGAGAACATAGCTTTGAAACTTTAACTTGATGTTGAATGCTTACAGACTAGCTTTATTCAGTTCGTTATCCTGAACTTATGTACGGTTTTAACAACAGTCAAGTTTGTGTATCAAATGAGCGAAATTAACTGAATAAGTGACAGTCTATTTTGGGATAGTACAGTTTTCAACAAGCAGTGTTCCAGTAAATCTTGTAGAACTTTTGTTCTGAAATTCAGCAAAGCGTTTATATCTGACACCCGAAAATCTTCGTGTAGGATCATTAACATCTTTTTAAAAAAGTAATTAAACTTCATTAGGTGTTCTAATTGGTAGTTATTTCGGACTTTTCATATTTTAGGTAACGGTACCGAGTAAGCGCGTTCGTCAAGCAGCCAGTCGCTTACGAAATCAAAGAACAACAGATCGATTTTTTAAAGCTCCCAGCACTTCACAGCATACAGCACTAGTGAAAGATGTAAATAACCTGCTTTCTGAATTACCTAAACTACGTCAGACTCGACGGAGGCAATCTGTGGAAAAACCTCCAGAGCAAACGAAGACTTTACCCGAGAAAAAACGCAAAGAGAAAGCTCAGATTAAACCCCAACGTCGTGTAGTAGAACGTGTATGTTTATCCGAAGAAGATGAAGATTAAAGCATTGTGAATGCTCCTCAACGTTGTACAGACTGAACTTTCTTAATTAAAATTCTTTTGAATCTCTTTTGTTTATATTTCAACTCGTTTTTTTTTAATTATTCACTTATTTCAAAGACATGAGTACCTTATTTTACAGAGAAATGGAAAATACACAACATTTTTTTAAACAACAACCAAATAACGTTTATTTAAATGCTATGCATAACTTTTGATAATATTAGATTTAATAACATTTTAAAAATGAAATGATTAGTAGTTTGTGTTTACAAAGAGATTTACATTGTAATCACAAATGATTGAGCATCTGGGTAACATACATTCATGGCGACACTGTACATAATCTTTAAAGTTGTAAGCAGCCTACTTCCTTCCATTATATATTACGTCAATTTATTCACATATAGTACAACTCTTCCTGTGTACAGTTCAACATAAACAACTGTAAAATATGGCTCCAAAGTACTCGGAGTTCTACCAGCTTTTAAAAGTTGTATATTCATTAGTGATTCACATAGTGCTGGACGTCCAGCAAGATTTGTATCGAGTAGATCAAAAAGTTCCGGTTTACTGCATCCACCTCTAGACGGACATGTATGAGTTTCTACTATTACAAAATCAGCCTGAAAAAAAAATCAGTTGAAATTTTTCAATTAACAGTCAAATAAAAGTAGATGTTCTGAGCAACAGAATTCAGAAGTGTTGTGATTTGCGGTGTTCAGGAGTTGATACTGATACACACCCTTCTCCAAACATGAGTACAGCCAATTGATTAAGTGTACAGACTGAAAGTTTGAAAGAAAGTTTATTGACTAAGCCGAATCGATATGTGTACACATCTATAATCCTTAGAAAATAAAGCCGCCTATGGTGTCTCATTCCTAGAAAATGAAAACTATTTTTTTGGCCAATCACATGGACTCATCATTGGATTGATTTCTGACTGGGCCAATATATCACTTTTCCCATCTAAAAAAGTTTGGTCTAGCTTCTCAGATTCAGTTTTACGAGAAATTAAATTAACATCATATACAGCCAATCAAGTGCACTAATGATTTAGCAGATTTCTGACTGACCTAATATGTTAAGTAACGCACAAAATAGTTCATTACCATACACTTTAAATACATTAATAGATTCAAAATACCACAACATAAAGTAGATTTAGCTATATTATGATTCGAAATTTCGCAAACAAACGGAAAATCATACAACGCACAAATTTTCAGCTTGTTTTGCTGATGGTGATGCACGAAATTACATTTCGAACGGGTTTTGTCTTACAGCATCAAAAAATGTAGAGAAAAAATCGAAGTAGAATTTCGTCACAAAAAGTGATTAGTGTCGTGATTCACTCTAACCCCTTTAAGGTGATTAGATTGAATGGAATTTTCTTTTGAGTGATCGTTTCATAAATTCATTAAGCGAACGGTACTGGATTCGAGTCCCGGAGTGAACATCAACACTGGAATGCCAGTGCGTTCAGCTGACGAGTCACATATAGGACGAAACGCCCCTCTTGGATCCTACTGCTAGCCACCATCCATCTGCCTATAATGCTTGTGACTTACGGCACTATCGAGGCAATCCGCATAGGTTACACATGTGCCGATAAGAGACTGGTCTATTGCAGTCCTGAACATCAACAGGAAATTCAAACAAAATGTATATGTAAAATTAATACTTATGTCTCTTTTCGTTTCTCATTCGATAATTTTTGCGTAGCATATTATGCTATTCAATAATGTCCAGCAGCTAATTGCATGGTGTCTTATTATCGGTAGTTTCACGTTTAGTCCTTGTAAGTATTAAACTGTTCATTTTAGTCTGAGGCCTGAACAGCATTTATGCACCCTATTCGAACCCCATAAGTTTTGTACTATTGAATATTATATAATAAAAACAGTTTCAAAGGTCGATTATCATGGTGTGATTTTTTTCTCTGATCTCTATTGATCTCATGTTTTATTGGAATAGAACGAAGTTTTCCGTTCGACTTATATAAAGAGGTTACGTGTTTTTGACATTATTCGACATTTGGTTTTACGATTTATAAACTGTTGGATAGTGCCTATCATTCCTTCCTGGGCTTTCAAGAAAAGATTTTGATGTGTTGCGGACAGCGCTAAAGGCATTTAGTAAGGTATGTGATAAGGTTAAAATGAATATGGTTGCGGATAGACATTTAAAATTTTACAAACTCCTGGCAAGTGTTATCAGATACCAACTATTTCTTTTATATCTTCCAGTTGAACATTAGAATCCATGAATGCAAGCAAACTTATAAAATTTCTACAACACCGTTAGTATCCAGCGCATATACTATGCGACGAACAGGTTATGAGAGGTGACCAACTAGTCAAGAACTTGTATTCTTGGACATCATGCGAATCTAAGGATGTATAGATCCTTATCTTAATAAAAAAACGTCTCATTTAATTCCAGATAATTTACTTATTCCATGTATATGTGGTTGCAATTATCTTTTTTTTCATTTTTTATGAGAGGGAGTAGTTGGAATACTTCGTGCTGAGAATTCCATATTGTATTAAACATGTAATATTAAATAAAGCCATCAGTAATGATAATAATAATCCATTATTTGGAGTATGTCATTATTTCAGAATACTCACTGTGATAGTCATCGATCTCATATGCAAAACAAAAATACGCCATGATGTAATAAGCGTTTGGGAATGATAAAGATCTTACCTAAGTCAAGGTAGATGATATTAAACAATTTATTCACTAGCAGTATATAGTTTAGTGGTACAGAATACTTTCATGTCCAGGATTAAATAGGAACTACTTTTACTATTTAGAAGCTTGTGGTTCGTTGAGCGATTGTGTAATCCATTTGATTTCCGCAAGTAAACCTTTACTATATGGTAACTGTTTGCTTAAATATTCTTTTCTTTTAAGTATATTACAGTGAAAATTAACTAAGACAAAGTTTTCAGTGTGAATGTGGAGAAAAAACAGGATATATTTCCTGTAAATATATATGAATGATAATATTTACTTTTAAAATATGACGATATGTATGCCATACATCATGAACAGGTTTACGACTATAAATCCCATAAGCTAAAATAGTTCTATAACGAAGTATTGTATTCTCATAATGTGGATGATTTGTAAAAGCAAATCCAGATTCATTCAATGAAACAATTTGAGTAGATGGATAAGGAGCAGAGGCTGGTAATGTTAAACGTAGATTGCCTAACAAAGACATTGGTCCAGATATAATCCATGATAAGGATGATGACGATAAGGTAGAATCTTCACGTTTTTGCGGTAAACTTCGAAACCAATTAATTAATATTTCACTTTCATACGCACTGAATGAACCTTGTATACTCCATTCAGACTAACAAGGATTGGAATAAAAAATTATGTAAGAATGCAATATTTATCTTGAGCAATTGGAATATTTATCAATATCATTAACTTGGAAAATCACTTTAACAGACTTAACATAAAAAAATCAGAAAGCTTAGTGTATGAGAAAGATAACATCAGTTTGAACATTAAATTAAGTGGGTTTTTTTCAAAATGATCAAAAATAATTGTAGCTCAGAAAGAGTATTGTTTTCTTTGAGCTGAACAGTTTAGTTGTGCAGCTTTTGATTGTTATTTCTAGACAACATCATCAAGATACATTTGGAAAACAAGTGAGCTACTAGGGATTTTTCAAAATTAACTAACAGCTTGTCCTGTTGATCAGAGATTTAGTTGACTATTAGACATTTTCTCTCAAAACTATGTCAGTACATTTTCCTCTTGAAATAATATGAGGCTTATAAATTGGTTCATTTGTTAAAAGATGACCTATTAATACTAATATAATCAAGTAAAAGTGTGACTAATTCTAATCATTTAACTCTAGGAAATTACGAAGAATAACAGGATGATAAGATTCTTTCTGTGAACATTTGGTAGAAATTGGGCGCCGAGTATACAGAAGACATTAAATGTAGAAATTGTATTAGAATAATTTTAGCTATTCAAATTTAAATAATTCCAACGTTTTGTTCATCAATCTGGCTTGGACTTTTTCAGATTATATAATGTTGGTATTTAATGATAAGCTTCTTGTTCACACGTCACACTCTAAGTAAATTCGTAAGTAAAGTACAAAATATGAATCACAAAAATGAATATGCTTAGTTAGTTTTTGGATTATTTTCTATATACGTCTATTTGGCGAAGTTTTGTCTTTTGGACTGGATGGCTTAATCGTAAAACTTTCATTGTTCTTTTGAATAACAACATCAGCTCAAACTTCAGATAGAAGTGAGGTAGTCGGATTTCTCCACAAAAGACCGACAGATTGTTCTGTCAACCTTTAACCCGCCGTTGTCTGCATGTTTATTTTACTTGTCTCTCTCCTTTGACTCAATTCTTGATTCTGTAGTTGTCCACGATTTTTCTGATTGCTTGACATACTGAGTCAGTTTCAGTGTGTTTATAGATTGATTGACCTGAGCGCCAAGCTTCTAAAATTTTTCTAATATTCTTTGTATCCCAAGATTTTAACGTTTTCCCAGTACAATATGTGCCTACAATTGTGTATGTGCATTGATTTAAGCAAAGAAACAAAACAGCATAGGTGCTCGTGCAAACGACGAAGAAGAGCACTCCCACTTTGTTTGATGGAGTGCTTCTCACAGTTGGAACAATTTATTTTGTTGATGTTTGATTTTTTCGTTTTCGCCATATCCAAAATTAAGTGATCATTACCAGTTAACAAATGGTGTATTAAAATCTATCAATTATATTGTTTCTAGCTCCAACTTCCAGCTTTGTAATAAATTGTTACCAAAACAAAGAATATTCAGATTGACTAACTATACCAGCTGGTAATAGCCGTGTAAGTGAAGTCTATCGTGTTAGCCACTACTATCAAACTTTGTATCAGGATGAACGTTTAATTATACATGACGAGAAAAAACGTAAAAAAAATCACTGAACTATGAAGTCCCATGATTTTTTATGCTTAATAGTTCAACAACCTAATTAGATGGAGATCAACAAAATCATAAACAGAAATAATTTGGTCATATATAGCGATAATTTGACAAATATCAGATGATAATAAGTAATTAGACTGTCCATTAATAATTAGAGGTTCAAGTGATCACTAAAATCTTTGTTCATAACGAAAGCCAGGAATAACACCAAGAGATTCCTACAGACTAATTTCTGTGCTTGTGAATATAGCTAAACTAATAATGGAGGTTAAGCAGACGATAATGTAGAGCATCAAACAATATTCCATGGAGTTATTGATTATTTAACTGAATCATGTGGGAAGGTTCAAAGATCTTGACCGGAGTTTGTCTGTAAGATTATTACTACCAATGATTGACGTTGGGTGATATTGCTACAAAACGGTCATCGTGGCCCATATTCATCTATCATTTGTCTACCCTTAGATCTTGAGTTCCAATGTTGTTTCAAACTATTTATTCCACACAACCATTCATTTTTGAGCCATATTCTAGACGTCTATTGATTTAATTATCACAGGGTATTACTTCGAATATTTTGCAATAGATCATCTTGTTGTACTGATCTAGTTTGATAACTTCGCTGGGTCCATATTAATACCAGCTTTTACTTTATTTTTATTACATGATATCAAAAACCATATGGTTAAAAGAAGCCTACGACGTTAACATAATGTAATAGCAGTGAAACTCAAAAGTCGACAGTAAAAGTTACAACTAACTTTTAAATTCTCCAATCCACGTCCAGCCATAAACGCTATGAACAATACTAGTATTGTTGTATAAATAACATGATGAAACCAAAATAGACGTTTTGTCTTTTTTTCAGGTTCACAGGCGCCATTCCATGATGATGTACGAAATATACGGCCACCAATGCTTTTCAATGCATGAAACATTTCAAACCATCGTGTAGGTTGAGCTAATATAGCGAGTGATAAACACATTTGAGGTGTCCAGAACAGTTTGAGTCTCATAATTAACATAGCCATAATCGTAAAAATCGCCAACTACGTAGGCGTAAATTCATTCAATTTTTAAAAAAATAATTTAAGAATAAGAACTAAAGTTTTATGACACGATATACAATTTAGGTAGATGGTTACTATGATAAAATTTTGCAGAACCATAGACAAGATAATATATGCTTAGACATTGTACCAATACTAGTTTAGTTTCTGTCCCAGTCATCAGAAATTAGAAACAAGTTGGAAAGGAATGTATGCTGGACTTATGGGTTTTTGGACAAACGACAATCATATAATGTGGTTTCGATTATAAAGTTAACTGAAAAATATAAATTCCACAAAGCCGAAAACTTCAGTCCCACACAATGTTCAGAAAGTTCTAGAAAGGGAGAGATTTGAGAAGCTTCCCGGTAACGCTGATATATAGCATAGATGGTTTGTAACTAGCTACGGAATTCAGAAAGTGCGTTTCTTCCTGTTTGATACTTGTCAACTGAATGAACCTACATTCCAGTGTAGTGTTGGCATTATCACTGACACTGAATGCCCCTCGCACCAAACCCCGATACGTTATCTGCTGGAGCTACTGAGACTAGATAACAATTAAGTTGTTTACTGAGAATGACATTTACATCAATATTAGTAAGGATTTTAATTATTCCGATGTTGGTATTCAAGAGCAAATTTTTATCAGAATTTTTTGACAAGCATTCACCCTGTGAGAATCGCCTCGACAAATTCATTTTCATCACAAGTTTTATAGAACAGCTGGAATGTGGGACTAGCAGTGGGCTACATATGTATATTACGTACTTTATTTCTAAGTTATTGTAGCGAAGAGAGTAGTGTAGTTGGAACTTTAGGAACTGTTTTACGGACTAATATTGCTTATATTTTTACCATTCAATTTTTAGATCATTAGAGTGCTATACTCCTTGCAATGCAAGCTTGAAGTGGATTTATCAACCACTGTTATACATTTTATTATTCCTTAATTATTGTTAGGTAACTATATATTGTTTTATCTGTTTTGTCCCACATATAGCATGATTGTATGTAAAATATGATTTCATATTCAAGGTATATAGTGATATGACCAATATATATAATGGGGACCTGGAATTTAGTAATAGAAGCTTTCCTATTATGTTCTTCTGTTCAGACTTAAGACTGGGAATAGAAAATGTGTATTGCCGGAACAATAGGAGTTCATATTAAAAGCCAATAATTTGTGCAGTGATTACCTTTTTAGTAAGAATGAGTTCTGGTAATCATGCTATCACCAATTCGAACCTGTCTAAATGAAGATAATATTGACTTCTTAGCATGCTATATATTTAGATTGAAAATAGTGTTCACATAATAATGAGACGAGTATTGGGTAAGTTGGGACTTTCAGGACCATTTTTAGATCATTATCATTTACACGTAATCACTAGATAACTGTATTTGTATGTTCTTCTTATTCTAAGCTAACAATAGACATATTAACAGCACTAACACGTTTTGCTATTCCTAAATTATTATCAACTAATTATGTACTATTTGCTTCGTTCGCTGTAACTTGTAGCATGAATCGGTTGAGAAACCACTATATATGTTACTCATGAAAATATCAGTACTTCTACATAAATGTAAGGTATTAATGGGAGTTCAGACATTTGGTAATGAAAATACATTGCACATAAATAAATGATTAGAATTAAAGGAATTAACATTGCAAATAAGTCTTTTCGAAACCATTAATATATTAAAAGTCCATAATTATAGCAAATTTCTAATGTTGAAAGATCAGTTGATAGAAAATTACAATTTTGAACGTCCATTCTACTGACTGAATGGTACAATTTATCTTTTATGCTGATTTTAAAAGGTAGAAAAGACCAATGCAATAGATTTTATATCAAAGTTGAATAATCGTTAACAGTGGAATATAGAACGTATGTCTCGTCCCATTTGGGATTGATTCGTCAGTTGAATATGTTCGAAAAAAATGGAAACTATAACAAATGAAATAATTGTAGCACATGTAATATTTTTTCTGAATCGAATTTTGTATTTAACATCAATTATTACACGAGTATCCTGAGATAATCCATCAAATAAGTATAAAATCACAAGAAATAAAGTGAAGATATACACATTCGCACATCAGTTCACTTACCTGAATGATAACAAATAGTGAAATAAAATCTCGCAATATTTGAGATGAATATTCACAGCTTGACAAATTATCACTGTTAAACAACTGGTTATTTACAGTTACTGAAAGATGATGGTGACGATGAGAACTGAACAAGTTCCTGAATAATTTGAAAGAAACGATGAAGCAGACTAGAATGGAACCGTATATAAGACCAGTTTCAAGAGGTTGTTTTAAAGTGGCCCACTAGTAGACAAAAAAATAAAAGAATAAATTGGTGTGATTAAAGAAAGAAAAGTCAAGACAGTAGTATGAAAAATATATGTTAAGCTCATTAGCATTCTATCTTAACCCTATTCTTATTCAACTCTATGTAATATCCTATACTACTTAACAAAGTTCAGTAGCTAGTGTCATTTCTAACAATTTTAGAGCATCTAGTGTGTAACCTATCTGTTGTCGTATAATGTTCTTCAAATTTTACATAAACTAGTAACATCCATTATATTCATTACTGTGATTACAATCGCTCAACACTCGTAAAAGTTACTCTCAGTCTACATTTACTTCTTAAATCTTTCTTAAAATGTAACAGCTTTCATATTTTTGTGCTTTGAGTTCCCGATTGATCATTAAAGCCAGCGTCGACTTTAGATACGGCTAATGAGTGTCAGTTACGCAACAGTATACTGCAATTTGTCTTTACATATTTGTTGCAGAAAGTATTTTGCATTGAGGATTTTATTCTCCCGTTATATCATAACCGTAAAGGTGTTGTAACATCTGAACTGAGTAGTTCAATGTTGATGATGTACAGAATGATAATATGGTTTAAATCATAAAACACAGGTATCAGAAAATATATCCACCTGAGGTTTACATTATCTGCCCGACAATTTTTGTAAATTTGTTTTTAAAAAATCCCCCCCCCATTAAAAAAACTTTTCAACCCCAAATTACAATATTTTCCATCCCGTTTCGTTCAATGAAATGGCTAGTTTTAAAATTCGTTTTAATTTGTTAGTTATGTCCTGTCAAATCGTTATAAAATATCAGTACTTGCCGACGAAGTACATTTCAATCATCATTATGGAGGAGAGTAACGTGCCGAGTACAAGCGCTGTTGTTTCTCACGTAACAGAAACAGAGGAAGTCTTTTTGACAACATTGTTTCTCGTTGCGTTCCCATCGCTTGAAGCGTTAAAGTCCGCTATCACAAATTATGAAAGATCAACTTACTGTCATTATGTAGTGAGAGATTCGCATTTGGGCAGAAGTGAAAGTTCGTATATTAAATTTGTGTGTTGGAGAAATGGCCGTATAAGATCTAGCGGTTCGTCACAGCGGATTAGACGGATGAGGTAATTTGATTAATGTTATTATAATATTTTCACGAAGGGCTTCCATGAACACTCAATGTCCGGCCTTCATGTTTTGTAGACGGCTACTGGACTGTTGTACGTGGGAATGTGCATCACAATTACGAGTTCAATTCCCTGAGATACCAAAGTAATTCATGGGTGCGCATGTTAACGGAGGCCGAGTTTGAAACTGTGCGACCGCTGCTGATATCTGGTACCGCTGCATTCCACATTAAGAATTAAGTTTACCATTCTTATGGGAAAAGTCTGAATGCTCAAGATATCTTTAATATGCGGTACAAAGTGTTCTCACACGCGAACCTTCCTGATAAGCAATTTGCCAATTTATAATGTAAACGATAGGTGATTACAGAAAATCAAAAGCTCACATAACATCTTTGGGTGGGCTTTGCGAATACGAATTAGACGATGATAACTGTCTATCGTATTTTTTTCTTCACGACTGGTGATCAAATGATGTTGGCAGGTCGTTTCTTGATATTATTGGTTTTGACGGGACAAACAAGACGAATAACGAGAACATCTATTTATATCAGGTCATCGCCCTTGATATGAATCTTAAGGCAATACCCGTTTGTATTGCATTTATAAGTCGCGAAACATCGACTTTTATTTCTCGATTCCTGTTGTTTTTCCAACGGTCAACCAACAGTCGACAGGTGGTAGGCATTGTGACGGATGATTCACCTGCAATAGCTGCTGCTATCACGCAGGTGTATCCAAATACTCACCATATTTTGTGTCGTGTACACCTTGTTCGCAATGTTATAAAGAGGGTAAGTGTTTCGTTCATTAACATCAACCCATTAACCGTAATTGTAGAGGGTACGATGAGATGTGATACAACTTTTTTTCGCCTGATGTTCACTCGGACGGTTGAAAGGTAAATCAAAAGCTACATAACATTATTTTGTAGTTTTAACAATGTATCGTCTTTAATCGAAATATCCGACGGAACGTTTGCCCGATATGTCAGAGACCACCTACTACCGAGAAAAAAAATGGTCTACTGTTTTTCGACCATCAGCAACACTACTTCAACTAAATAATACGAACTTCGTTGAGACAAGTCATCGAATTTTGAAGATGCATCAGCTGAATGGAAAAACACCGGTGCTGAGATCTATTTTCAATGTGCTACTTCGCACTGGATATTGGATGGAAGCATGATTACAGAAATATACATCAGATTGTCGGATAAAAGCCAACATTGGTCAAGAGCCAGAATACGTCGACTTCAGGAACGACTGATACCAGCTGCATGTCAAGTACTGAAGCGACACCTGCGCACTCCTATAACGGGAGTTTGTAATGTCTGTTGACTTATTCACGGCTGTGGATGTAACAGGCACTTACAATGTACACCGCGATACCATGCGCTGCTCCTGTTCATTTTTCATTGAAAACGGATTGCCATGTCGTCACATATTGGCTTACTGTACACACAGTAATACTGATGTGAACGTAAAGTCAATTTGTGACAGGTGGTTACAATCTGATAGTTATCTGACTCATTGCAGTTGAGAATTACTTCCCAATGCAATTGAGCCACACACTTTTGCTATCATTTCAAATCTAGACCGAACATTTCAATAGTTGTTTTGAAAATAGAAAGCCATTCTGTTTACATTTTAAATGAAAGTGTACGTATTTTGTGACAAAAAACATTTTATAGTAAATGACAGTTTTTTTTATCTCATTTAGAAAAATATATATTCACCCATGAACCAATGTGTATGTGACAGAAAGGGAGAAAAGAGAGATTACATTACTTACATTGATAAAATCAAACTCTGGTGCACATATATACAACATTGTATGAAATGTTTTATAGGTTGTAATACCAAATAATATGGTTAATTTATGTTTTAATAAATCCCATATATGGCCCCCATCACTGTGGTTATTATCATTACTTCTGTTTAAATCATGATTATTATTGAAAGCATAATTTGAGAAAACTGAGAATAGTAAACTTAATCCGATCGTACATAGACAGACAACCAATAATGGTAAGCATAGAAAACGTATAAATGTAATATTCATCATTGATGATCGAGTAGATACTTCTTTCTTTTTAATTGTCATTGGATTATAGGCTAAGAAAGGAAATGGAACAAAGGAAAATTTCTATTAAATACAATACTAATGACAAACATCATTAATTCGTTTTAATTTATTTTTACCGGGTCGTATTGAATCTTCTCGTTATTGGTATTAAAGACTGTAATTGATCGGTTGCTTTCTTGGTATATATACATCTTCTGCAGATCGCTTTGATATTCTAATTAAGTCATAAGCATTTAAAGCAGAGTTGGAGAGTAGCTGATGGTGAGATTCAGAACGCGCGCTTCGTCCTTCTAGAGACTCCATCAACACTGAGGGTAGCCAGATGTCAATTTGAAATAAAATAACGAAATACTACTAATCCCGACAAGTTTAGAACTTCGAAAAGGCGAAAGCAAGAACTCAAATTCGAAGGAATTAGTAAGGAATTTTTTTACGTCCAAACGAAGAATAAATGAGTGGCAACTTCCATGAATTATTTGTAGACTTATTTATTATATATATACTTATCGTATAATTATTAAGTGACTAGGTTATGTATATTTATACTCCCTTTACCATAACTTTTCACTTGACCAATTGACTGCTGTTATACGATTTACTGTTCATAATTTATTCCCGGTCTATTAGTTACAGCCTCCTACACTCACAAACAATTTTGGCCTGATCCTGTATAACTGTTATTTTTTTATTTAATGGTGTGATGTGGCCTGGTACGCTTGTATGTAAACTACATGTCTGAAATATATTATTCATACAGCATAGGCGGATACTGTGTTCTGAACTGAGCGGACAGGGCTAGACGAGAAGCTACTATATTAGGAACCAATAAGGACTGATAGTTGACTCAAGGTTGTTAGTGCCGGTTGACGTGTCATTTTTTATCACAGGATAGGGTCATAGAAGTCGGTATTCTGACTGGAGTTTTCGTCACGTGGTATTTGAGGGACATAATAATGCTGATAGTGTGGATTACATTGATTGATTAAATGAATTAGTATTTATTTGAATAGAATACTCCCACTTTTATAATTATTATTCTCATTGGTTTAATGTAGGTGTGACTACTTCAATACAAGATTGTTAATTCAAATTCATCAACATAAAACGCTCAGGAAGAGTTTAAGGAAGCTATTTAGCTAACTAAAATGATTATAGTGCATTTTATACTGTTCATTAATACTCAAGCTCTATCTTTGTAATCCCAGATCTAACGTTGAAACACTACTACATTTAAGCTTTAACAAATAAACTAATAGAAATAGCATTAACAAACAAATAATCTCCGCCACATTTTGATGGTACGAATAATTTGTTCAATTGCTTTAAACAAAAGAACAAAGAAAGAACAAATCACTTACTATTTAATAGTTGTTGAAGTATATATACACTTAATAAACTACTTAGTAGAATAAACATATAACCAGACTGTAGAAGTAAACGATTGCCAAATTGTAATATAAATGATAAATTGAATACAATTAAATGAATCCATATGATCTGTTTTATTTTGAATAAAAGGCTTAGAATAACTGATTTTTGTTGGTTTGAACTAAGAGAATAAGGGGTATTTGATGATAGTGATAAACAAAAGGCACAAATAATCGATATAATTTGAGTAAGTAAAGCGAATTGGGAAAATTGCCATGAAATTTGACAACTCAATAGCAGTATACAGTATATTGGTAAACAAATGAAACTTTTCCCTCGATATGATCGTAACTAAAAGTAGGAAAAAAGAATTATAGAGTTGTTTAGGATAATAGAAGTGCATTGAATAATTTAGGTAGTTCTATTTATAGTCAGAGTGAACAAGTATACATCCTTTTTTAAGCGATAAACACTAACTTGCATAGAATTTCATATATATACAAAATGAAGAACGAGCAGAACGACTGAGTAGTTAAGAAATTATCCTTAGAATGTATGTACTATCAAAGGGACACTAGTGTCAAAGGATGTACTACTGCCTCGAGTAATTTACGAGACTTGTCATCCACTAGTCAACTTCCTTACTGTCAGTGCATCTGTCATCTTTACCAGATAGGATTGTTTTTTTTCGTAAGCTTAGATTTACGATGAGTTCGATAATTTTGATGATAAACAGTAGTCTCCAAAGCTACAGCGAAAGTACAATTACATCTCATATGTTTTTACAGAAAGGGTAATACAATCAAAGAGTAAAGTAAGCAATAGACGACTTTTTCCATTCAGCGATTCCATAAGCTCATTTATGAACAGAAATTCGTATGACTGACAGATCATTAAGTGTAGCTTATTGTGTTCAACTTCATGAACAGTATACCAGTAAACCACTTGGAAGGATCAACATTTATTCTATTTGACTGTGATCCCAAGATTCAGCACTGATACAATGAAGATTTCACCCACGAAGATGAGGAGTCAAAGCTAAATGAACACTACTGAGAAAAAGTTATTCCCAGGTTATATGTAAATCGAGATCCGATTTCTACCGGTAATATTTGAGAATATCAACAGAGTAGCGACTTAATAATTCAGAAAGTGATAAGCTTTGTCACTGGTAAATGAATAAAACGTTCAGATACTGAACTTCGACAAGTTTTTCATCGACGAGACTAACTTTGTATTTTAAATGATTGCCAAATCTTTGAATAATGGATTGTAATACGTTAATATTATTCGTCAGTTGTATATTCGTCAGTTTGTTATTTATAGGTATACCAAAGTTGGACTTGATAGTTTCAAATAAATTGAGCATTGGGTAGAGTTAATAATATATATATATATATATATATATATTTATATTTATATATCCCAATGAGTAGAAAAATTGTATTTCTGACGTTTCGTGACTTAATGTAAGCCACTACTCTGAAAAAGTCACGAAACGTCGGAAATACAAGTCTGGTATTTATCGAATAAAATGCATTATCCAAAATTTTGGTTATTGGTCAGAAATGGAGGGAAAAATAGCAGATTTTGTTCGCTATTTACTCATATAGTAAGCAAGGTACCAAGAAGGTAAGCATATGGTCTTAGGAAGGAGTACCAGAAGCCTTTAGTCTACCAAGTAAATAGAACGAGGGAAAACAACGAACATGAATATCTGTCTTAATCTGCCGTAATTTCCCACTCTAGGCGTTTATGAGCCGGGATATCACATATGTACATTAATTTGTAGCGCATATGCTATTCAATGTTTAATATCAATCATTTTTTGTTCATTAAGTGGATGAACGCTGCGTGTAAGCGCAGAATTTTAATTGGGAATTTCATTTCAGGTTTAAACTCTCAGTTTTTTTTACTTTTTCACCCGGTAAGTTGGGATGCGCAATAGTAACGCATTAATAAAAGACATACGTAGATGGCTTTAGATTATTTAAACGAAGTCCCTAGTGCAAATTACCATCTGACATGCAGCACTGATACACTAAACGAACGGGAAAATGCTAAATGTTGCTCTTTTTATTGAACACTGAAGAAAGATGGTTATCCCAACTTATGGTAACCGTATGGTTTTAAGTGTATGTACCAGCTTCATTACTCTTAATACGAAATGAAATGAATTTTTCTGAGTTTTTTTAACATTTATAATAATGTAAAATATTACGATTTTACCATTTTGAGTAATGATAAGTTGATTTGATTTTGCTCTCACTACTATAAGGACCAACAGTCAGGTCTGAATTGGTTGGAGAATAAGTGGCCTATAGACTGATTTCCTCTAACCACCTACTATATTTTGTCATACGTTTTGTTCATATTTCTTATATAAGCACATTACTTTATTACATAAAGAATCTATTCATCTAGCTATTGGTTTTTGTAATATCTTGGGGACCACTGGCCATTACTACCACGTGCCAAGTCACCACCCAGGGTCTTAATTCTAACTTGATCCTTTTCGCGTCTATATATACTCATTGGATTTTATTTCAAATATATATTTTCTTGTGATATTGCTTCTAGCAGTGTGCAACTGACCGTTAGACTTCCATCCACTAAGTAACAAGCTCAACACTCCACTCCACCTAATTTAGTTTAGGCACACAAATGAGTAACATTAGCCCTCCCAGTTAGAGTGTGGTTCATATTCAAGTGCCTAGAATATAAGTCAATTAAGTGACCGGTAGATGTTTCATGATTTAATGTTTGCAAATTCTTACTATTTGTTTCGATGCCTTATATCTTACTTATGAACATACTTTATATAATAATTTCAGATTTTACGTATTAATTAATTGCTAAGTTGTACGGGTTGATTTATTTTAAGTAAACCACACTAAATGATGAATCATCTGCGGAGAATTCGAAAATAGGCATTACAACTACATAACTACATATTAAAAAGATAAGGAAAACTAAGTCTATTTACCATTTGATTTGATCCAAAATAACCTAATAAAAAAGACTGTTGAATTATAAAGAATGGATAAGCAAAGCTTTCTCTCAATGGTGGAGTCCATTGAACACGTGTAGCTTCTCTATGATTAGAGAAATATGCTAAAATTGGAAGAAATCCGCCAATAAGTTGTAGTATATAATCCATTTTAGATTGATTTGAACTCCCAATCTTAGCAACAAACCAACCAGAGTAAGTTAAACCGAAGAGTACCAGACCTGACAAAATAAATACTGAATTTACATAGAAATATGGCGGTTCGCCAGATCCATCACAACTTATGATCGAGTTACTGTTGATCTTCAATTGATTCGATGGTATTACATCTAGCCTTAACAATAAAAACAAGACAAGCAGATACTGTAATATCAAATGTTTTGTTACATAAAATTTGGAGGAGGGTAATGCGAAAATGCTTATAAAGACAAAAAAACTATATTTATACCAACTATTATAATATATAAGCATGAAACCACAGCTATGCATTAGTAATATTTACATTTAACCTATATTCTTCCATATTTAAACTAACAAAACAACTTTAGTTTAACCAATCGACAGGTATTCTTTGCTAAATAGCACTGAAAAAATGTCATCTATAGGTTAATCAGAACAGCATCAATTATTCACTCAAATATGACCAGTATCTCAATCACCAAATGTTAAGACCGAACATAGTCAATTATCTTTTATCTTCCAAGTGTTAGAGGGACAAAGAATCGGATCTAGAACCTTCAGTCACGCGCGAAAACATCTAGTCCCTAGACCACTGAACCGGCATCCAACGGTGTTAATGTCTAATCCCTGAGGATTACCATACGAGAAGGAAAAGGTCATCCAGTGCTTCCAGATTTTTAACAGTGGTATAACTTATATCGAATTGTAACTTCAACGAAATAGCCTTTTTTCACCACAGCTGGTGTACCACCATATGTAACCTTGACTAAACACATACATACTCGCTACCAGTCAAAACCTTTTTCTCTCTCTCTCTAAAACACTTATTGTGAAGCATTATTTTATAAGTGATGACTTTATTTCATTCAGTAAAAAAGGATCATATGGGTTTAAATTGCATATACACCAAATCAAAATAATAGCAGTCAGGATCAATTTGTCTCTTTATTTTATTGCAAAATAACAACTTCAAAGGTCTGTTGTGGTTGTAATAGGTTAGCAAATGCCATTTTTTGAGTATGTTTTCCAAGCATCTGCCATTTCAAGTAGAAGTGAAGTATTTGAACTCCTTCATATGTAACTAATAGGTTCTCCTGTCGACCTTGATATTAGTTGGTTATTGCCAATAGTAAGGTGGTTTCCCAGCTCTTTTTTCCTAGCAATTATATATCTTATACACACCTGAAATATGTAAGTCAGGGACCTATACATTCCGAAGTATAGATGTTACTCTCGTGACATCTTTTTGTTAAAATATACATTAGATTTACACATAAAAGACATAAGTCAAACCGACCTATACCTCTCACGGCACACACATGTACATAAATGCTGACCACCCATGTGTCCGTCGAGTGTTAAACACTGATTAATTCGAAAATTAAAACAGAGTAATCGATAAGGCGGATCCCCATCAGTCGCTCATGTTGATTCGTTAGGCACAACCTCACTATTACCCAAGCACCACGAGAAGGTATGTGTTAGATTTTGCTCGAGAGTTACTAGTTACGAGTAAAATATGAGTTAATAGCTCTTAATTTTATATGGAAAACGTAATACAATGTCAAGAATGCTATGACGACAGAGCTTTTGCAAATGATTAATATCATATTGACCACAGATTGTAATATTACTAATAAGTATGAACAATTCAACAGTTCAGGAATAACAATTCAAAAAACGAGTATCACTGCCAAGAATTTTTTTAAATGAGTACTGGTCTATGTGAATTTTTCAATACATTGATCAAACTCTAATACAACCTCAGTACTGTAGCTTCTAACGCATGGACTTAGCAAAAGGAACAAACTAAAAATTCATCCTTGGCAAAAGACATCTAAACATATTTTCCATCAAGTCTGAAATTCATGATTCCAATTTCAAATTTGCCGTTAGAGAAATGTCTGTAAACACAAATCTGAGGTTCAGAAACTTCGACCCTGCCAACAGTATAGCCTTAAACAGAGATTTACGCTTCGAAATAAGACATCACTAAAAGAGATTTGCAGTGGTTAAGAAATTTAGTGTTGAGCATAGTGAACAAGGATTAGTGGTTGATTTTTTTCCCGATTCATAATTCCCCTTCGACAACTAGTTTGTAGACGATAATATTATCTTGGAATCTCTCCATCCAAACCAACTATATCAACTATAAATTTAGTTAATTCAGTCTTCTAGCACTTTGTCCAAGTTTAGAGACTGACATCATTTATGGTTGACTGAACCAATATGAATTCAATTTTCCTCATCTCAATAGTATCACGCTGAAATTTGGGGCAGTAAAGAGTTGTAAACTTATTTGGATTTCAAATGAAGTATACAAAATAACAAAATTTTTCTCCTCTGAGAGAATACGGAATTATTAAAGTGAAATGTATACCTAACGGTCAATGAATGTTTGCTTTTAACGTGACAATTCATGTTAGTGATATATTGGCCAAATTTAAGAAATGGGTCACATTACGCAGTTACTGTTGACAGTAGACATATCTTATTGAGTGAGTTAATTGTGCAGATGTCATATTTCCAAAAATGAACAAATTCTTGTACTGTATTGGGGTTCACGATTGGGCTGTTATTATAGAAACAGCAATACATTCTAATTCGATTATTGATTTATTCGTTCTATGCCTATAGGACTGATGACCTATTTTGCCAACAACCCAGTGACTAATGAAGAACAACAGATACCTTAACTTCCGTCGGTCCTCGAGCTACTTAAACACCAGGATCTAACCAAATGATGAACTTAACAAGCAGATAAGGTCTTTGCTGTGTAGCCTTTCAGTCAAATGTGTCAACTTATACAATGATATGGAGTAATTTCCTGACCGCATGATAATGTAAATAAGAAATGACAATATCCACATAACTACGCAATCAGTAAAAGAGAAACTAAGTGATAGATCCGTGATTAATTAACAATAACGTGAAACATACAATAATAGTTTGTGCTCCAAATGAAAGATTACACTTAGGTAAATATAAGTATACAATAATATAAATCACTACGAATTATACAATATAAAAATATGAACAACAATTCTTCATAAGATATTTTCACAAGTTACAGTTTTTTCACTATTTATCCTATTATAAGAGTAAATTATATTTTTGATCGTTCTGAATAAAAATGATTCTGAATTAAATCAACTTGGTATTAATTTCAAATTGTACAAAAGCTTAATATTAAACAACCATTTGGTAATTGTTTATTTTAGATTTCGCTCTTAATTTCAGCAACAGCAAATATATATTTTTAGAATTAAAACCTTATTGTCTGACCATAATAATAATAATAATAATATCGCATGCATCAAAACTACATGTACCCACTTTCTAAGTTGTGATAAATTTGCCATTATATTTGGATTTATAGCGATCGCGATTGGATTAGTCGGTGGATCTCTTTTAACTTGAAAACAGTAATGTCTGATCAAATCAAATGTGTGTAAGAATCTGTAAGCACCAGCTAGCAACAATTCAGGATACAGATTAAATCGTTCAATAGAATTAAGATTTGCACATTGATTATTCTTTTGAGTACCTATCATTAAGTGTGAAAAATGAAAGTAATTGAAATTACCTTTATCATTTACTAGGCTTAAGCAAGGAGGATATTCAGTCCTAGTATCAGTAAGCAATGAGTTGAATCCTTCCACAAAAGTTGATGCTAAAACGATCTAAACAAATAGTTATTCGAAAAATTAAACTATTCAAGAAGTAATTATAATCTGTACAGGAAACAACACCAAAACTCCATACTCATGAGTTTATGACATGTATTGTTTTTATATAAAGTAACTTCTCTATACTAAACTGATTTAAACAATTCAAATTCCAAATTGGTGTTAATTAAAGAATTACTTAAAGCAAAAATGAACTGTTTCATCCTCGTTTTGAATTTGCCAACAGTATAATTCCATGATTACATACAAGATCGAACCGAGGACACTCTGATCTTTTTGAGTTAGAATCCGAAAGAGCATATAGTTGCGATCTAGTGGTCCATACATTAAAAGTATCACATCGTAAACAGACTGGTGACAAAAGTCCTGTAAAATAGATGGAACTTTCATTCTTTACAGCTGGACTATCCAATGTTTTCATAACCCACTAATCTATCACACGGATACAAGATATATAGGGCCCCAGGCGGCCGATTGTGAGAGAACAATGAAACTACATAAGTACATCGCAAAATAAGGAATAAAAACATGATTATTCAAATATATACTTTAATAACGTTTAAGCAATCAAACGAAGAGCTTTACTTGTTTAAAGTAGGAATAGTAAAATCCCATTTCAGTCCTAAATGTCAGCTCACGCTCCAAATTGGATAAGTGTGAGAAAAACAGGTCATTTTCATGTAAATTCGAAACATGAAAACAATGCAAATAACCAGCTGTTGTTGCCATAAGAAATAGTATAATATGAAGCGTGACATTTGTCCAGGTGAAACTTTTTTCACTTGTCTTTGTTTTCAGCTTTCTAACTGAAACATTTTTATAGATAACTTGACGATCAGATTTACTAGTTTTTCCTTCAAAATTCATTGTTTGAGTGACTAAAAAAATCAATTCAGGAATAAGACATCTATAGATGGGTAATTATTAAAGCTAATAAGCACAAGTCTTTAGAGTGATTACAGTAAAAAACATAAAAAGTTCTCACGATACTTGCTATGAATAAGTTTTAAATGTTGGTACTGATCACGCTTTCATCGTTAAAATGGTGAGTAGAACGTTGATTAGTCGATGATGTGTAGTAACACAACGTGATGAACCAACAGTTGAGCATGAAACTGAACTACTGATCTAAGCCTTTAAACAAAATGTCGGTATGCAACACGGCTGACCACCACAATAGGCTTTTCTTGAGGCAAAAATAACGCTTTATTTACACGCCAAACAAGAAATCGAACATGAATACACATAATCTAATACAGGATTGTAGAATCCGAATTTTGTGGGTCAATGGCAGATCAATGAAGGGATAACCTAAGCAGTGCAGTTCACCCTTAGACGTCACGTCTAAATTATTTGAAATTCACACCAATACAGTCGTTCCTTCAGTTATTAGGTGTCGTAATTTCTTCTCAGTTCAACGTAAAAAAAACCACACTTTAAAAATATATGTACCAGTTTCAATGAGAACGATAGGTCTATACATACACGATAACTTCATAAACATAGCCAGGATGTATTCGCAGTGTTTTAATGTTACATTTCAAAGTACGATTAACAACTGAATATTACACATTAAAAATCCTGGAACATATGCGAAACGGCAGGTCTAAATTAATGGGGTTAAATATACTAAGAACCAAAAAACTACATTAATTGGTAGATGCAACTCCAAAAAGCAGGCTTTTGGCATGTTTTAAGAAGAGAGAAAACACCATAGGAAGCTTCTTGTAGCTGACAACGAAAGCTATATTTAACTCCTACCCATGCAAACAAAAAAGAGGAAGAATGCTAAGATAAAAGTGCTGAGGAAATTCATTAAGAAAATTACGTGTAAATACAGCCGACACACACTGAGGGAAATAGTGCGAACCCCCCCCCTAAACTTTACTATCAGCTACTGAAGTTGTTTACCATCCGCAAGAATTGTCCTTAGCCTAAATGCACACCAAAGACTTTGCTTCGCGCACAATTTTTGCCCACTGTTTCTCTCAAGTGTTTTCTCTTAATTCCTCTTTATGTTATTTTGGAATGTATATGGGTTTCTATAATTATAATTAAGTATTAATGCCCAACTGTACGATCGAAACCAGAATTGTGCAATGGAATTATTTAGAAACACTGAGGTGTGAAGAACGAATGATAGTTTAACCAATACTTCAGTACATGAGCTCAGGAAAACTTTAAAACAGACTACCTGAGCAACTGGAAATACATTTCCGCGGCGCATCGCATGCTTACACATATCCCGCCGTTTTGTATACAATCTGATACATAATATCCTTTTGACAAGCTTGTATAAACCGAATGATTTTTTTACAATCGCTTTTTGCTGTTCCTGTACAATTTCAGGCCTTCGATGATAATCCATCACTTGTAGTTTAGCCACCTAGCTGCACCAGTCCATTTAGGCATTTCGGTAACTATTTCAGCATTTTTATATTATGTAACCTGAATAAGTCAGTTTTTCGCGAAGAAACTGGTTTTCTGAGTGTCAGAATCTATCATATTACCAGGCAGTTAGTTGGTTGGTTGGTCGCAACATAGAAAATCATATAGAAGGAATCGGAATTCATATGGATGATTGTTTCAAGAGGTAAATAAGCATTGAAATCAGTTAATTAATATTCCAAATAGCGTAGGTAGATCGAAGTGCAAGAATGAAACGAAAAACCGATATTATAATGAGCGATGAAGGAGTAACCTCATGACGTGGGGTGAAGATAACAGTAGGTAAGTTACGAGATAGGAATTAAGGACAGCTAATGAGAGCGGGAGATGATGATCCACAACTTCATTCATATATTCCGAATATTCCCTTGAACCTCTCAAATGATGAGGGTTACTGTCACTTCTTCTGAGACAGTATTCCCAGTGGACTAACTTTTAAAGCGAAATAGTGGGAGCGTACACAAGACGACCGCATCGAGTTACCCTCGTATAAAGTGAAAAGTCACCTTTGTTTCGGCTGTTTCTACAACGCATCTTGAGCTCATTCCCACGTTTTCTCTGACTGATCATCCTAGGTCACGCTTTGAGGAGACAATTGAGAACAGGTTTTCATAGAGGACGTAGGTTGTTTGTGTTTCATGGGGCTGAATGCCTATCACATGACATTTTGATAGGCTAAACTTCTGCATATCGTCTACCACCTGTTTCCTTATTGTTTGAAGGTCCTTATGAACCTCAAGTGAACATTCTTCCATGAACCTCCATTTCTTGTCATCGTCGGCATTTTACGGGCCGTTGAGCTAATCTTATCTAGAAAGCCATCGTTAGGAGTTATGAGGAATGTTAGACGGAAAACGGCTCATTGTGTAACTCCTGATGTTGGAATCCTGCACTACATGAGTACTTTATGTACCACAATGCAAAACATTCTTTCTTCTGGGTAATTTCAGGTCAACGAGACTCATCCCTCTGACCTTTACTATGACTGGTTATTAAGGTTTTGTGCCCAATGTTCCTTTCGAGCCAATAAATATTATATAGGCTTGTATATGTTCGACAAAGCAAGCTTTCTAGCTGTCTTGAGTCTGGGCGTCCAGGATTTGCATTTTTATAAGCCAGTATTGGGCTCAAAGAAGGACGTTGTTTTTGACGTGTTGTGGTGCACTATAGCCTTCGCGGTTTTCGGGATTATCGGCCAGATACTGACACATAAGTGTGACGTCCTGCAACCGACCGATGCGCCTAGTCAACCTTAAATAACCAAGTCACTGCAAGAACTTTGGAAACTGATACCTGATGCCTGACGTCTGGCCCAATACTGACTGGCACCGAAAGAAGAGGAAGAACGCAATGCAAATGTTCATCAGTTCAAGATCACTGTTACACTTCAAACATCCATTTACATATGTACAAGACCGGACTACACAGTAGATATATCGGGCAATAGTATTAGCACAATACAACAACATTACTGATGGGGAAACGGAATACTGGGCACATAAATAATTGGTTCTAGTTAATAAACGGAAGATGCTATAGCAAAAATTTACAGTTCAAATAAAAGCTTAAAACAAAGGTAATAACAACACAAAGAAAACTAAAACTCCTAAAAACGCGACCAATGTAGATAAATAAAAGCGCAGGAAAATAGCCCCGAAAGTTATCATCCCGCAGTTAACTCGTCGCTTGCAACAATGGACTACTTCCTGAGCGACAGGATATTTTACTTAGTATCAACCCGAGAGTTACATGAAAGTTTCTCTGACCATCGGTTTGCACTATGGTCAATAAGTATTGGAAATATTGTAGTGAACAAGAACACGTGTGGGGACAATCGATTGTATTTAGCAGAAAAATTACAGACTATCTCAATGAAATTTGAATACCATAAAATCAATTTTCAATTTGCAAAACATCATTGGCTCATATCAAACTGTACTGTTCCCGTTGCAAACACTAATCCATTGTCGCCCATTCCATTGTACATGAGTTTTCTTACAATTCCATTGTGTTCTTGCTCTTCCTTTCTTGATCTTCGCCATCTTCTGCTGCCGGACATTACGTTCTTTTAACGCACGTTATATACTACTTATATCAATATAAGTAGCTCACACCACAGTATCACCCCTGGCTTCGAGTTTCAACGCTGAATTTGTTTCGCACCGTCCGTTGATAGCTACTGGTAGAATCATTTAGAAAAACTCCTCACTTGTGCCAGCCTCTTGCTTGTGCATGTTACAGTTATTCTGTGCGTATTTCACGTCTCCTTTATTTCTATTCCCTTATTTTCTCCATTTCCTTCTTTAAACTCAGTTCAATATTCTTCTCAATTGCACAGACCCGATTTATTATTATTAATATTCTACTATTATTGCTCTAATTTTTTTTTAAATGGCAAGTATAATGCTGACATTATTGAAAATTGTGAATTATTGCATTTTTTGAAGAAACCCGAAATGGTTTCTTCACAACACTTATGTACCCATAAGATGTTTGTGAATAATAATAATAATAATAATAACCATGAAGCATGTTGAAAATGCTCCATTACAGCCGTGTGATCTTTCTTAGTGTAACAAAGCAAGAAAGCATTCTCGTCCGTCCACTTGACTTGTGACAACTTCAAATATGATTGTTTCATGGTCACTACTCACAGTTAATGACTGCACACGGACTCCTTAATCGGAAGGTGGTCATTAGATATTAGCTGGTAGAGTCTTCTATCCTTTCCGTACTTTCTTCATCTCGTGGTGTTTTCGTGTTTTCACGTCGGGCTCACCACTTTCGTGCCTTAAGGTAACCCTCGTGCTATTGATAGAAGAAACCAAAGAAGTAGTGAATAGGTCTTTATTTCGATCTTTGCGCAGTTACAGGGGAGCGTTGGATTATCTGTTCAGACAAACAAAGGCTCTCAACATTCAATATAAGATATTAGGGAATATAACGCTTATACAAAATAAGGAAGTGAATGAATACTTGAACAATACTGTTTTGGCATATGCTTGGTTGTTTGGGGTCAACTCTTAACCAACCAACCTAAGCTGTTACAGTGTCTCTTTCAAATTCATTCAGGATTGAACTTTTGATACCTTTGACTGT